TACATATAATAACCCCCCCCCTAAAGAATCTATCAACACATTTTACATTTCTTTTTATAAATGTTGATGCGTAATTTCAAGTCACCCTCAAAGCAAAGATAGCAAAACCCGATTCACAACGGTCTCCTTGAAACCTTTATCTGATCAACAGTGTGAAATATACTGTAATATACTGTCGTTTTTCTAGGTTTAACAGTTTAATTCTGATAATTCATATATGTTTCCCCGCAGAAGAAATGAGCAAGTCACTTTTGTAGAGAAACCCCAATTAAAATAATCTGTTGTCAAATTTATAAACATTGATAACTAATTCAAACTTTATCAGACAAAGCTTGTAAGGCCGGGTACCGGTGTGAGGCGGGCATTGCCATTTTGGCGTGAAGGGTAGCTTAAAATTACAATTACAGTCCTTTTAGACTCACTCTCCGCTAAAACCCACTTTTCTTGTGGTTAACGTACTGTAAATCACTGCAGTACGCACCGAAAGCTTGGTTTAAAGGTCGACTGGATAATTATCTAGTAAAAATAGATTTTAGGGGAAATATAAAAAAAATTAATCACCATTTTAAATCTTTGACAAAAACTTCGGAGGTGTGATTTTTGAAAATAAAATAAACTCCTGCAAAATATAATGATGTTTGAAGATCTAGGGAAAAAATGAAAAATTGGACATCAATATGCAAGTTTTTGATTTTCATTCTTTTTGATAGTTTTTTACTAAAAATTGTATCGATTTTCCCAAAGGCTTGGGGGGGGGGGGGGTTGATGTATTAAGTATTTAAACCTTTAGGACAGATTTGAGAACTGGACTAACAGCTGCCAACTTCACCCTGTGACAGTCGAACCTGCCCTGGTCTGATACTAAAACAATATTATAAATCATTATCACTACTGCAGTGCTAAGGATCCTTTTAATTTTGATGCGGATCCGGATCCTGGATCCGCACTGGAAAAAAAATGGATCCGGATCCAGGTTATTTCTTTATTCAGAAATCAAGAAATTTTTATAATCTCTCTTTTTTAATATAAAGTTGAGTTTTCAAGATTTTAAAAATCTACACTTTTTCTAAGCAAAACTGTTTAATTTCAAACAGCTACAATAAAAATTAATCCACAATAAATGTTTCACTCGGTTTAGCTATTTCACGTTTGTTGGATAAACACAAACCAAAATTAAACCATCAAACATGCCAAATATATAATTATAAAGTAAAATTCTTTTTGAATAAAATTTGAGGTTTTAAAATTAAAATATTTAATGTATTTTTTCATTATTTATTTGAATCAATTTGCTGGGGGTATTTCTGGCCACCAGACAATTCACACCCATCATTACTTCAGCGATACATGTACAACCACGTCTCCAGTCTGCTTTTTAACTTCAATAATTTATTTTATTCAATTTTACAATATTTTTAAATTTTAATATGATTCAGATGGAAACATTTTGAGACTTCTATATTTCTTGGTTTTAATCCTTTCTTCTTGATCTTCCATTCCTTGTCCATCCTTTAATCACACTATGGCTAATTTTGAAAAAAAAATAAATGAATTTTTTGGATGTTTTCTGCAGCTAGCCAAATTGCAGAGGTAGATCTATTTTTTGAAGCCCTGTATCTATATTCTATATATTGAGAGTGGCAAGGTTACTCTTCCCCTTGTTTATATTAAAATTTTGCTTCAGTCATGATACTGTGTCGAGTCAGCTCCTGCATTCCTAGCTTTTCTTGGGGGGCATTTTACACATTTTCCAGTTTTTTATCTCCAAAGTTTTCTTCTTCTTTCTTGTTTATCTTGCTTTAAGCACCCATCTCTACTGTCAAGAGATTTCCCTTCCACTTTTTTCTGTTCAATTTATTTTTTCTTCTTGCTTCTTATTTCTTGTTTTTACACTTTAAGGCCTTTCCAAATAGTTCTTTCGACATCGAGTTGTGGAGCAGGAAGGAGAGAGATAAGGAGGTTTGTAGGAAGAAGGGTATAGGGGATTTCTCCCTGTGTTCCTTCATTTTATACTGTTTCCCAGTTAGGGGAATTAAGGAATTTACCCATAACTGCACCCCATATGCAAAATGGGGAGTTGTGATCCCTGAAAGCTCTATTGAGAGGTATCTTCCATGGCAGTCCAGTCCTCACATCTGGTCGAGTAAAAAACCAGTATCGTTGTGCATGGCTTGTATTCCCACGAGGGGTTAAACTCCTCTTTTAGTTAACCAAGCTGAAGATGAAGTTTTGTTTTAATCTTTGTACAATTTTTGCTTCCCCTGTAGGATACTAGATGCGTAACTAAACACAGCGCTTCCCCAGCTGCAATGCCTCCAGTCTGCTTAAAAATCGCCTAGGGTATGTTCTGTTACAGAACCCTGGATTAACCAAAATATACACATAATAAAACCTTGTACTTTCTGCAAGCAAACATCAGCCTTATACAATTTTTCATAACAATTTATTTTTCTTAAATTTTCCCGAAATTTGTAACTTAGCCACTTACGATCCAATATCACATCGCACCCTGCATATTCTCTTGCGACCAAAAAAGACCCATTTCTGAATTGACAGAATATATGAAAAGTACCAACACAATAGTATTTTTTCCTCAAACATCTAAGTTTGTTTAATGGTTTACCTAGGCATGCATCAAACCCATAGCATCCAACAAGTTGAGGAGAAACAGAAGACACCAAACGTACTGTTCCTAAACACCCAAAATCATCTTCTTGTCCCTGATGTCTTTTGATCCTGCTTTTCTCTCTGAAATCCAACATGGCGGTTTCATCCTCACGTGTTGATGTGTAGTCGTCTTCATTTAACTTTTTCATGTTACACATCTCAATGTTTGGTGATCTAAGATTTTTCATGATATCTGAAATAATAGAGATCTATAGCTGGAGTTACTTCCGTTGTTTACCCTCGCTTGCTATTAAATAATGATATTAAGTGTCCGGCGTTGCCTGTTAAATTTCAAATTGTTTAGCATACTATGTAACAAAATTCACCCAAGTTGGTCCGCCCGTTTGGCATATTATAGTGAACATTATGGGGACGAAAAGCTTTATTATATTCATTGTATAAATAAAAAAGATGTAATTTAAATTTTTTAAATAAAAACATGTTTCTTAAGAACACTTTCCATAAGTTCACCCATAATTTTTGCTAAAAAGTTGTTAAGCCACAATATATTCAGGGCAATTATAGAAATCCTACAGAATTTTTGTTGATCAACGTGATACACGAATCTGATTTGGTCGCAGTGCCTGGCCCCTTCACCTTTCCTAGCCGTGACGGTCGTCCGCCAATCCTATCCTCGGTCCAGAAATTGTCTGAAGGCCAACATTAAACTTGTGACCTCAGCACCCGGCCCATTAGCCGCGTACCCTTAGCCGCAGCGCTCGGTACAAAAATTGTCTTAACCAAACCTAACTCTGAAATAATAACAAAATAAACTGGTCAGTCAAAGAGAACACATTTATTAACCAAACATTTTTCTCTAGGACAAACCCTTGAAGTCGTATTCATGTACAATATACGTATACTAGAAAAAATCCTTAGAATATCTCAATGTGTTAATCAAATGCAGGGTCTGTCCTAGTGAACGATTTTTGGACCCCCCCCCCGGGNAAAATCGTTCAATGGGACCGACCCTAACTGTGAGTCGAGAGCAACTTATTTTCTTTACATTTTAACAACGCAAACAAAAATATGTAATTTATTAAAATCAAAATAAAATAGATAACTTGAATAAAAATATACCATCTATATGTTAGCAGTTCTGAGCACATGCAATGCAAAACATTTTAGAAAATTTTTTTTTCAGAAATATTATGAGTGATCAACAGTTCTGTTTAAAATGGAACAACTACGCTGTATCTGTTACTTCCGTATTCCGGGAACTACTGGCTGAGGAACAGATGTGTGATGTTACTCTTTCTACACAGGTTGGTAACATTGTAACTACAGTCCTCCTCGTATATATCAATACCTTAAGGCACAACTTTTGCTTCAATTTGATTTCTCCCAAGCTGTGAAACGGCATAATTCTTTATTTTTAATTATAAAATTATAAATCAATAAAAAATCATAATTAAAATCCACGTTACTATATGTACATATCAATTCTCTAGAAATTACCAACATTTTTTCGTAACTTATGTGTTAAGCAATTTAAATTAGAATTTTTTTGGTAATTGTTTAATTTCACTTAGTTTTGTTTTCCCATTTTATATTTTAAAGTTTATCGTTATTCTTCACATTTATCCTATAATTTCTCAATCAAGTTTATAAGAAGAAGCAAAAGTAGATTTTCCAAACATTTTGCGAACAATCCCGGAAATAAATTTTGTAATATTTTCAGGATAAAAAGATCAAGGCGCACAGAATTGTTCTGACGGCTTGTTCAGCTTTCTTCAAGAATATTCTCAAGGAAACTTCAAGAAATAATGTTTTTTTAAAATTAAATTTGTTTGTTTTCTCTCGTAAAAAGACATCACAAACTTTCGGTAATTGCTCGAATTTCAAGAAACCGGAGATGTAATTTCAAGTGTGTTTCGTGATATATGGGAATAATATCGGAACCCTTTTGACTGTAGGAGTTATTCCTCCGAGCGTGAATGTTTAAATATTGTCCGGATAAATAAATACTACTACTCTTCAACCGTTCTTTAACCACGTGACTGTCAATCCGAAGAAACCTATTCTTGATTTTGGGATTCACCCGATATTCACTCAACAAAGTGGCTTCATTAATAAAACGGCATGCACGATTTAGAACGGTGCTTTGTCTGTTGAGAATAAGATATCCTTTATAGTAAAAAATTTATATTTTCAACTGAGGTTTCTCAATAAAATGAAACATTGTCAGAATCTTAAACTTTTCGAGCTAAAGGATACCATTGTGAATTGGCCATACACCTTAATGTTAATAAAAGGCTACTTGAAATTGAAATTACCATTCAATTAGAAATGATGACAGGGTTGTATAATTTTCAGAATAATTTTGTATGATTTGGGGGTTAACATTTAAAATGGGACATAAAATACAAAACATATCAGGGGAAAATGTTTCGGTTAGGAGGAGGGGGGGGAGCGGTTGAATGATTTTTCGATAAATTTCTTGACACCCTGTAGGATGTCAACGCATGGCAGCACCCTGTAGTCTTTCTGAAGGTAAGACCGATTTGAGTTATTTTTTATTAGAAATAGTTTTTAAATATCTTGTCTTTCTTCATTTACCAATCATGAAACTCAATCAGAATGTTGTTTTGATTTCTCTTGTAGTTTCAAATTGATTTTAAAATTATCAGCTAGAACTTCAAGTTATACAACTTTGAAATGTTGGATTTCAATTTGTTAACATTATCGTCGTTTTATTGCTCCTAAAATTCACAACCCCCCATAATCCTAATATTCTCATTTCTCAACAATATTTGAAGCAGGAGTGTATATTTTATTAAAAATTACCCCCCCCCCCCTTTTGAAAATGTTTTTTTACCCCCCGAATTTGGTATGTTTGTGCGGAGCGGAAATTATTTGTGAAGGGTTGCTTTCGCTTAATTGGGGAAAATAAATGATTTTAAAATTTCTGGGTAACTAGTATTAAAAGGATGAAAATTTTGCTTTTTGAGTTCCAATTTTAACCCCCCCCCCCCCTCTCTAGATCATCAACTTAACATCCTAATATATACCCGTAAGCCCTGAAAATGTTGAATTATGTTGAATTTTAAGTATTAAGATGAGATTTAATTTTTTTAATTTCAGGATATGAAGTACTCTGATCTGCGAGGAATAATAGAGTTTATTTATCATGGAGAAGTTAGCATTGATCAGAGTTCTCTTTCTTCATTCTTACAGGCAGCAGAGAGTTTAAAGATCAGAGGTATTTATTTACATGAGAGGTTGAAATTCATTGTATTTGTCTTTATCTAAGATTCGAAAGATAAGAGCTGGTTTGTATTTGCAAGATCAAAGCATGCACGCATAATTCTTTATCTAAGAGTTCTTTATTAACATGAGATGTTAAAGATCTGAATATTCATGAAAAATTTGTTAACCTAAGTTTGAATATCAGATGTATTTACTATTTTTTAATATGAGATGTTAAAGATCAGAGTAATCGTGGAAAACTCTTTATCTAAAGTTTAAATATCAGAGTCTTCATTGATTGAGGTGATTGATTGATTAGGTTTGATTGATTGATAAGGTCTGATTGATTGATTAGATAGTATTTTTTTTGACCGGTTGATTAGGTTTGATTGATTTGGTTTGATTGATTGATTGCTAAGATTAAATTAATTGATTGGTTTAAGTTAATTGATAGATTAGATTTAATTGATTGATTGTCTAGGTTTGACTTATTGATCAGATTTGACTGGCTGATTGATTAGGTTTGAGTGATTGGTTGATTAGGTTTGCCTAATCAATAGTTTAGGTTTGTACGATTTAAGATGGAATGGGTTAAATTGAGTGATAGATTAGAGTTCATTAATTGATTGTTTAGGTTTGACGGAAGATTGTAGAAAGGGTCCTGAAACTAAGAAGGTGGATCCACCCAAGGAAGTTCCTCCTAGGTAACAGTAAATTCAGGGCGCTTCGTGATCACATCATATTGAAAATTTTCTCAATTCTTAAAAACATAAAAAAAAATTTCCCAAGATAGTTTTCTTTTTTCCTATGGCAAAACTAAACTAGCCTGTTTCCTTCCAGATATCCACTTGGTTTTATTTAGAATATATATAACTATAGTAAGATTAAAACAATTTTATCAATTTTTAGAAATAAAAATGTAAAAAGTTACTTCCAAAAATAAGAATTAAGAGGTTAAATAAGCAAATAAGCAAAACAATATAACAAACGAACAAGACAGACAATTACACTGGCAAACAAAAAAAATACCGAATACACTGGGAAACAAACAAAATACCGAATACACTGGCAAACAAACAAAATACCGAATACACTGGCAAACAAGCAAAATACCATATACAATGGCAAATAATTAAAATACCGAATACAATGGCAAACACAAAATACCGAATACACTGGCAAACAACAAAATACTGAATACATTGGCAAACAAACAAAATACCGAATACACTGGCAAACAAACAAAATTCCGGATGCACTGGCAAACCAACAAAATACCGAATACACTGGCAAACCAACAAAATACCGAATACACTGGCAAACAAACAAAATACCGAATACACTGGCAAACAAACAAAAAGCCGAACAGGAAAAAAATTTAATAAGACAAACAAGCAAATGAGACAGAGAAACCTAGTTGATATTTATCTTGTTAGATTGAAAAGTGATATGGTTCCTGGTGAGAAGGTGGAGGTGTACAGCAGGGAGGAGGAGGAGGAGGAAGAAGAGGAGGTGGAGGACGGGGTTGGGGAGGGGGTGGAAGAGGAGGATAATCTCAATTATGAGGTGAAGTGAAAAATACCTTTCCCCCCCCCCGGCAAAAAAAAAATAGATTTTACTTCCTTTTCTTTATCATAAGATTATTTTTTTTATCATTCACAAATTTAAAATAAAATTTTAATAAAACAGGGAATTCGATGTCTTCTTGCCATTCAACAAAATAAAATACATGAACTTCTTTCTCTAATGAATCCTATTTTCCCGAAAATCCAAATTTTCTAAAATAAATAAACTAATGTTCATATGGAGCTGAAATTAGGGATTCGAAAAAAATTTGCATTTATTTTCCCAAATATTCAGATGGACGAAGAAGAAGAAGAGGCCATGACGGAGCAAGAAGTAAAAAATTCGAGTTTAGAAAATATTTATGACGGAAATTGTTTGGAAAAGGTAACATTTATACTAGATAGGAGCTGAGGTGTAAGAAGGGGGTAGAACTATTATATGTAAGAAGGGGGTAGAACTATTATACTAGATAGGAGCTGAGGTGTAAGAAGGGGGTAGAACTATTATACTAGATAGGAGCTGAGGTGTAAGAAGGGGGTAGAACTATTATACTAGATAGGAGCTGAGGTGTAAGAAGGGGGTAGAAGGTTTTAGAATTTGATTGAAATTCAATTTGCAAAATGTGATATAAATTTTTTTTTGGCGTCGAAAGAACACTTAACAAAAATAAACCATTTTCTTTCTTGAGTCCTGGTTTTGAAATCCTAACTTTATTTCTAGTTTGAGAATGATGAGATGTATCTGGGTTCTCCAGGTCTTCTCCTGGATCCAAGCCTAGGTATACCTGGATCTAATCCAGCCCTGCTCGGAGCTAAGAAGACCTGCCCCTACTGCTTTCAGCAGCTCTCCTGGCACGCACTCTCCAGGCATATCAGGTACCTTATCTAATATGCTGATACCAGGAAATCCAGTGAGAACATGAAAACTATGTAATATGATGAGGAAATTAAAGCCTTAAATGTATTTGATGTTGTTATGAAGCAAATAGTTTTACTTGTGACTGATTAAATCACTCATCTAGTGAAATGGGTCTGTTTACACTACACAAATGCTGTGTCTCATGTTCAATGAACTATTTAAGGTTATCTCTTGAGTCTGAAAGTCGTCTTCCTATTCTACAAGGTTCGGGTTTTCACTGTATCAATCATAACTTTGTTTACAAAAAAGTGTACTGCAGTTTCTGGGATAAATGTAAACAAACACACATGGCCGAGCTATGCTTCTAATTTTCCCAGAAACTGCCCACACTTTATTTGTAAACAAATCCATAGGATTTTCTTGTATATTCAGATCAATACCTTATCTTATTTTATCTTATTTTATCTTATCTTATTTTATTTTATTTCATCTTATTTCTTGTCCAATGTCAAGAAGTAAAATTAAAATTCTAAACATTTTGCTTCGTTCTCTTGACTTTTTGTCTCATTGTTTTTGTCGTTTGTTTCTTTTTTTTCTTGACTTCTGTTTTTGTTTCTTTACTTATTTCTTTTTTTCTTTTCTCTATTTTTCTTTTGTCTCATCTTCCTTTCATCACTTCTTTCTCTTTTCAGTTTTCATTCTATTCAGCTCTCTTTCATTTTTACATATATTTTTCAAAATAAATTAAAAAGAACATTTATTAGGGATATGCATAAAGCAAAATCAGAATTGGTGAACTGTCAGTACTGTTTGAAAACCTTCAGGTAACATGCTTTGTTTGTTTTTCATTTAAGAATCCAGAAACAAACTATACGGTTTTGGAATAAGTAGATAAACATTGTAAAACCAGAAACCAACTATAGTAACCAAGAAACCATTTGTTGTTGTCTAGAAACCAGCTGTAGTTGTCTAGTAGCCAGCTGTAGTCGTCTAAAAACCAGTTGTAGTTGTTTAGAGTTGTAGTTGTCTAGTAACCAGCTGTTGTTGTCTAGAAATGAGCTGTAGTAGTCTAGAGACCATTTGTAGTTGTCTAGAGACCAGCTGTAGGAGCCTAGAAACCAGATGTAGTTGTCTAGAAGCCAGTTGTAGTTGTCTAGAAACCAGCTGTAGTTGTTAAGAAACCAGCTGTAGTTGTCTAGAAACCAGCTGTAGTTTTCTAGAAACCAGCTGTAGTTGTCTAGAAACAAGCTGTAGTTGTCTGGAAACCAACTGTAGTTGTCTAGAAACCAGGTGTAGTTGTCTAGAAACCAGCTGTAGTTGTCTAGAAACCAGATGTAGTTGTCCAGAAACCAGCTGTTGTTATCTAGAAACCATCTGTTGTTGTCCAGAAACCAGCTGTAGATGTCTAGTAACCAGCTGTAGTTGTCTAGAAACCAGCTGTAGTTGTCTAGAAACCAGCTGTAGATGTCTAGTAACCAGCTGTAGTTGTCTAGAAACCAGCTGTAGTTGTCTAGAAACCAGATGTAGTTGTCTAGAAATCAGCTGTAGTAGTCTAGAAACCAGCTGTAGTTGTCTAGAAGCCAGATGTAGTTGTCTAGAAATCAGCTTTAGTAGTCTAGAAACTAGCTGTAGATGTCTAGAAACTAGCTGTAGTTGTCTAGAAACCAGATATAGTTGTCTAGAAATCAGCTGTAGTTGTCTAGAAACCAGATGTAGTTGTCTAAAAACCAGCTGTAATTGTTTGGAAACCAGTTTTTTTTTGTCTAGAAACCAGTTGTAGCTGTCTAGAAATCAGCTGTAGTAGTCTAGAAACCAGCTGTAGTTTTCTAGAAACCAGATGTAGTTGTCTAGAAACCAGCTGTAGTAGTCTAGAAACCAACTGTAGTTGTCTAGAAACCAGATGTAGTTGTCTAAAAACCAGCTGTAGTTGTCTAGAAACTAGCTGTAGATGTTTAGAAACCTGTTTTAAAAGTCTGGAAACCAGTTATAGATGTCTAGAAACCAGTTGTAGTTGTTTTGAAACCAGCTGTTGTTGACTAAAAACTAGCTAAAATTAGTTTGAATTTTTAAATTTTGTATTTAGGAACAAGAATTCTCTTGGTTGCCATATCTGGAGGTTCCATAAGCGGGGCAGGGAACCCAAACAAACATTCACTCAGAGCCTCAGCTAAAACCTTGTAATCAAAAACAAATTGAGAGTTCAGCTTTTTGTGTAAAAATTGCTTTAAAAAAGTTGTTTTGATTTCCTTTGTTGCCCTTCGAACTTTGTATTTTTTTTTTAACTTTGGATTTTTTTTTTAACTTTGGATTTTTTTTTATAGCTGAATTTATTAAACTATTCTCAAACAAAAGCATCACATCACTTTGTATTTTTGGCTTTCAGTACTAGTAATTATTGAAACTGAATACAGTTTCTGACATTTATGTATTTTATTTGAAAATTACTAAATCTAAATTTAAATAATTGGTACTGATGGCTTTGTTAATAGAAATTTACAAATCTCGACCTCCACTAACCATGGAATGCGGCTTAGCCTTGCAATGCACTCTCTTGAAATCTCAAGAGTTTTTGAAGAATTTGAAACGAATTTTTTTCATGGTAAACTTTTAGTGGATTTTTTGATAATTTGGTTTAGACCAACCACATTTAAAAATATTACCTTTAATAAAAATTAGAAAATTAATGTTAGTAGTTTCAAAATATTTTGCCAAAAACTGGAAATGTCAAACTCTATTTCAAATGAAACATTTCTAAAAATATATTGCCAAAAATTAAAAGAAAAATTGGCAATAAAGGTTTGCACCACCATTAATATTAAATGGTTTTTCTATTTTTATACGTTTTTTACCTTTTTTAATCAAAATGTAAAACTTGTTAAATGATTGAATATTGTAAATATATACACAAAGCACTTCTGCAATAATAATCACCGACTTCGGAGTTTGGTAATTTCCTAGTATACAATTTTTGGACCATCTTTTCAATTTTTGTAAATAAAAATTTGTGAGTAAAATCTTGTTTAATTTTTGTATTTTCACTTTTATATTATTTTTGATAACGTAAATAACTTTAACTGAAGTGATTTTGTCTTCCTCTGATTGAATTGTGATTTAAAGCATTTATATTTTTATCATTTTGTATTTTTATATATTGTTAAAGGTTGCTAGTGGTTTATATGTTTTATATATGTTCGTTTATTTTTATATAATTGTAACTATAAAACATAATTTATCATAAAGTTTATAACAATTGTTAAAAAATAAATATATTTTTTTTTCAAAATTACAAAAAGATTTTTAAAAGTTTTTTCAATAACTTTAATGATGCGTCCACCATTGCATTTTATAATTCATCACGATAGACCAAATATAGTCGTAAATAATCAAAACGAACAGCGTAAATTAAACCTCTAAAAGTTGCATTTGTATATTTTATTTTATAGATTGAATTGTGTTTACTTTGCATGCCTCGAAAATTTTATAAAATTATTAAAACTTTGATAAAACTTTGTAAATTTTATTAAAATTTTTAGATAAAATGGTTTTGTCCTTGGACTCAACTCCTAAGTCGAGTTTTGCTGGGTTGGATCCCCCTGATCTGGCGTATCTCAACAGGTATTCAGTGATGTATATTTATGAATTAAGATTTTTGAAGATCTGGAGGAAAAAAATAAAAAATTGTTACAAAACAGGCTAGTTTTTTTTTAATAATTTTTATTTAAAATTTTATTTATTTCCTCCTAAACATGATTGAGTAATATCAGATTTTTAGTAATCCCAAGTAAGTTAGCAAAATATTTATTATTTATTTTCGTTTTTTTTCTGTGAAATGGGTTAACTAAGCCATTTTTTGCAGAAATAAAACTGGCCACTTAATATTCAATTTTCCATCCCTTCCTCCTCCCCCAATTGATCTTCTAGAATCGGTAATATGGTACGCACTGAAATATAAAACGTTATTATTTGAAATGTACCAGGGAGGATACACTGAAGCAGCTGGACTACTATTATGGATTGATAAAACGTTATTATTTGAAATGTAACAGGGAGGATATGCTGAAGCAGCTGGACTACTATTATGGATTGAGTAAACGTTATTATTACAAATGTACTAGGGAGGATATGATGAAGCAGCAGGACTACTATTATGGATTGATAAAACGTTATTATTTAAAATGTACCAGGGAGGATACACTGAAGCAGCTGAACTACACATATGGATTGATAACACGTTATTATTTGAAATGGACCAGGGAGGATACACTGAAGCAGCAGGACTACTATTATGGATTAATAAAACGTTATTATTTGAAATGTACCAGGTAGGATACACTGAAGCAGCTCGACTACTATTATGGATTGATTAAACGTTATTATTTGAAATGTAACAGGGAGGATACACTGAAGCAGCTGGACTACTATTATGGATTGATAAAACGTTATTATTTGAAATGTAACAGGGAGGATACACTGAAGCATCTGGACTACTATTCATGGATTGATAAAACGTTATTACTTGAAATGTACTAGGGAGGATACACTGAAGCAGTTGGACTACCATTATGGATTGATTAAACGTTATTATTTGAAATGTACTAGGGAGGATACACTGAAGCAGCAGGACTACTATTATGGATTGATAAAACGTTATTATTTGAAATGTACTTGGGAGGATACACTGAAGCAGCTGGACTACCATTATGGATTGATTAAACGTTATTATTTGAAATGTACTTGGGAGGATACACTGAAGCAGCTGGACTACCATTATGATTTTGTGAACTCTTTCTTTGATTAATGATTTGATAACAGTGATAATAATATAATAATATAATCTATAATAAAACAAAACATTTAAATATATGTTCCCAAAAGCCGGCCAAACGGCTAGACCGAATGGGATGAACCCATGGGTGTAACTGGGCTAAAAAACAATTCGAAATTTTTTTGCTTCAAAAAGTTGAGATTTTTTTCAGAATTAGAAATTTTTTATTTTTCAAATTTCGATTTAAAAAATTCTACTTGCAAGACCGAGCCCTTCAGCTAGTTTAATATAATAATATGAATAATAATAATAACACCAATAATATTAATATTAATAATAATGAAAATTTCAGAGTCCTACCTCTGGCCTCTTCCCTAATCTCTCAAATGAAAAGTAAAAAAAACTAAAAATAAATATTTTAAACATTTCTGTAATATTTCTATATTTAAAATTATTAATGAATTAGAAAATATGGATCTGTACGGGATAGTATTTATTGTGCCTCGGCTGTGTGGGGACTACATCAGGTACTTTTATCATTTTCCTCAACGCGCCATCTTGGAAATTACGATTTTCCTGCAATTATTTCGGCTTTCATAGTAATATTATTATTTACAAATTATACAGAAACTTTTAAGAATCGATTCATGATATGTTTGGTTTTCTACATCCTATTATTTTTTCGACAAATTAATAAATACCCTCCTTTTCATGATCTTATGTTCTAATTCTTATATTTTTGTTGTGATTTTGTAGACCGTGTATATCTCAAAATATGATTTTTGCTCGACCAAATATTTAAATATCTGAGATTTACAGACTACACAGTCAGGATGCATAATTATAAGGATTAGAAAATTGAGGCGAAAAATCAGTTTCTTTATATACTAAAATCACTATAATTCAATAGCTAGATTTAAACTTTAATTTGTTGAGGCGTACCGTCGAGTGGATGATGATCGGGGGAAATCCTATGAGCTCGGTCAAAGCAGTGTCTTCTGTATGAGAGGAATCTTAGGTGACAGTGTTGAAGGGGTAAATAGTCCCCCCTTGTCAAGCCCCCCCCCTGTCATGTCAAGTCTGTATGAGAGGAATCTTAGGTGACAGTGTTGAAGGGGTAAATAGTCCCNTGTCAAGTCTGGAAAAAAGATTATTTTTGAACTATGAATTAATTTTTAAATTTTCCCACAAATCAATTATTTTCTAAGAGCTAAGCTTTTGCAACAAATATTTTTTACTTAAAATGTTTCCCCCTTCAAAGTCTAACTTCATGATGCAAATCTCAATTTATGTTAGGCGTTTCATTAAGATTTCTGACCATTACAGGGGTGATTATTCAAGAAAATATTTACCCCTGGTTTCTCTGAGTAAATAGTTTTAACGAAATATATTTTCTGTACAGCTTGTTGGATGAGACAGTCTAAGAAGCTTGAATCCTGGAAATCCTCTCAGAATCCAACTCAGTCTCTACATTCTGTATTCTGGTGAGTTAATAATTACACCCTATTTACCATATTACGTAATTTAAACGGGAATTTTGGTTAAACTGCGAATTTTTATGAAACCAAATGTACCCTGTTTGGTAGTCTGGTGAGTTGGTATTTACCCAATTTACCAAATTATGTAATTTTTGGTTATATTACAAATTTTCTCAAACCAACCATACCTCATTTTGTAATCGGATGATTTGGTAGTTACAACCTTCTTACGGAATTATCAATAACATAATTTAAATATAAATTTTAATTAACAAATTTTTACAAGACTAAACCAACCTCATTATTTATTCTGTGGCCGAATTTAAAGAATTTGAGCGGCGGTTTAAATTGGTTGGTTCCACTTAAAATTGTATCAAATGTTTCAAGATTTAAGCTGGCGCGAAATTTAAACCGGGTTTTGGCGGATTTTGGCGGATTTAAACCGCGGCTCAAATTCTTTAAATTCCATCTCAGGAAAGGTATTATTCAATACTTTAATGGATTATTCAGCTTTTTCAAAATACTAGATTTTTGACTGCTCCCAAAAATTATGGATTTTTTCTTATCAATATGGACAATCCTTTTTTATGCATTAACATTCTTGTTTAATATTAATTGTAAAAATTATCAAATATTTGTATTAAAATTAAATTTATTAAAGACTGAGTATCTGGTTTTTGGAAATATGAATCCCACCTTTTTATGTTTGTGAACTCTTTGTTTGATTAATGATTTGATATTTTTGTGAACTCTTTCTTTGATAAATGATTTGATATTTACAGAATGATGGTTGACCATTTTATTATTAGTTTAAATACTGGTGATGAAGTTCTAACAACTAGTGAATACAGTCATCTACAATTAGACTGTGTATCCCTTTATCTCCTTTACCTGGTTCAGATGATATCTTCAGGAATCTTCTATATTATCTTTTTAAAAAAATGTAAATTTTGTTGAAGTTGAAATGCAATAGAGGTGATTTGTGATAAATTTATTCTTTTTTATTAAACATTGAGTGACACTAGTTCAGCTGGTATTCTATAGCTTTGTTGATAGTTTTGTTGATTTGGTTTTGTAGCTTTGTTGATAGCTTTTTTGATAGTATAATTGATATTTTGACTTAATCACTGATTTGTTAACGAATTGGCAGATTCTATAATTGTTGGTTGGTTTTTTGATTATTTGGTTGATAAGATGGTTTGTTTAATTCCTTGTTTGCAAGGTTGATTACGAGTTGGTTGAATTTTTTATGATTAGGTTGATTTTTTGAGTGATTGGTTGATTGTTTTGTTAATGATTTGTTAATGGATGTTTTGGCTGACATGATTGTTTGGTTAAATAATTATATGCATGGTTGATTTGTTGATTTGTTGATTCATGGGTTGATGTTTTATTGTTTTCATCAGGCCCGTAGCCAGGGGGGTGGTGCAGGGGGACAGGTGCACCCCCCTTTTTTCTGAAAGGGGGCTGCAATGACGAATTTGCACCCCCCCCCCCTTAGTCCCATATAAAAGAAATTGTTACTCATAATTTTCTAAAATAGTCACTCATTAAATCGTTGTTTAAGTCTTAAGGTCCCATGGAAATAAAATGATAATCTCCTGTACGCTTTTAGATTTCCCCCCCCCCCTTGACCCTTGGAAAGCTTTTTTTAAATGAATAAGAAATGTGAATATATAATTATCAAGTATCATATTGCAAAGTCAAATTAATAAATGATAACTTTATTCTGTTGGTTAAGCAGTACTATGAAAAGATTGTTTAAAAACAAGGCACGCCTATTTGCACCCCCCTAGAAATATCCTGGCTACGGGCCTGGTTTTCATGAATTGGAAGGTGATTTGGTCGCTTGCTGATATTTTTTAATATTATTTATTTATTGATTTCCATTTGTAAATATATATTGGATCCAGGACTAGAAATAATCTACAGCACAGAGGAGGTTTCTATGGTTCAGAACCTGGTTTATTATGTAGAGAGAGCTTACAGGTAGTTTAGATCCAGGGATGTATATTTTCTTGAAATATGAGTTTTCTTTCCCCCTCCCCCTTTTTTGAATCATCTTTTTTTAGAAGTTTTTCAGAAGCTTGAAGTCCAATTTTTCACACCCCCGATCATCAGATCAGTAACACAAATACAGCTTTTCTTCTTTTATTGTTTAATTTTCAATGACTCTTAATCTAGAATATTTGATTAATTTCTGCCATTTTCCTGCCAGTCTTTGCTATACATCTGTATTTGACAAAATATTTGTTTTTTTAAATTATCTTAATTTCCTGATTCAATCTGTCTTTTTTGAACATCTTTTTTTTGCAACGTAGTGTAATTAACAAAGGCTTGTTTTTGGTCAGTATATGAATGATCATTGGTGCAGGGCCAAGTGATAAAAATATCGTTGATGACACTCTTAAAATTACATTGCCAACCTTTATTTGAATGTTTGGCTGGCTTACCTGAAACCAATGTAACCTGCTACTGTTACTGTGCTTTTACAATGTACTCTGTCTATAGAGAATATTTATAACAGACCATTTTTAAATGTCTTGCAGATGTTTATTTTAATAATAAAATTTTAAAAATTTTTTACATAGACTCTCATTAATCCTGCCTGCTGTCCAGGACCCCTGACTATGGTATCTGGGGGCGAGGAACTAAATATAATGATGGGAGTCCGGAAGTAAATGCTAGTTCTATTGGTTTGACAAAAGCAGCTCTGGAGGTAATGACAGTTGACTTTTTTCAAGGTTCAAGATTCATGTTTTAGACACTAATCCTGATTTAGTTCTAGGTTAAGATCCTATTCCTGATAAAGTTTAGAGGTTAGAGATAAACCCGATGTTCAGGGTTTAGAACTTAAACCTGATGTAGTTCAGGGTTTAGACCAAAAGCCTGAACTCAAGAAGGTTCAAGGTCTAAACCTTGAACTAAATCAGGATTTATGCTTTGAACCTGACTGAGTTCAGGCTTTAGACCTAACCCTGGTTGTCAGGGTTTAGAACTTGAACCTGATTTAGTTCAGGGTTTAGGCTCTAAACCTGATTAAATTGAGGGTTTAGACCCAAACCTAATTTTCAGGCTTTAGAACCTAAACCTATTTTATTTCAGGAGGGTTTAGACCTAAAACTGATTTAGTTCAGTGTTTAGACCTAAACCTAATTAATTTCAGTGATTAGACCTAAGCCCCATTTATTTCAGGGTTTAGACCTAAGCCTGATTCAGTCCAGGGGTTATTCTCTGAACATGATTTAGTTTAGGGTCTATAGCCTTAAACCTGATTTAGTTCAGGGTTTAGACCTTGAACCTGATTTAGTTGGATGATAAGTACCAAAATAATCTAAACCTGATTAAATTCAGGGTTTAAGACCCTAAGCCTGATTAAGTTCAGGGTTAAGACATAATCTACAACCATGCTGTTATATATTCTGATATTGATTGTATAACTAGGCTGTTAATGGGTTTAATCTACTGGGGGATAAACGAGGGAACCATGCTGTTGTATATTCCAATATTGATTGTATAACTAGGCTGTTAACGGGTTTAATCTACTGGGGGATAAACGAGGCAACCATGCTGTTATATATGCTGATATTGATTGTATAACTAGGCTGTTAATGGGTTTAATCTACTGGGGGATAAACGAGGAAATAATGCTGTTATATATTCTAATATTGATTGTATAACTAAGCTGTTAACGGGTTTAATCTACTGGGGGATAAACGAGGGAACCATGCTGTTATATATTCTAATATTGATTGTATAACTAGGCTGTTAATGGGTTTAATCTACTGGGGGATAAACGAGGGAACCATGCTGTTATATATGCTGATATTGATGCACATAACAGGTATATTTATATTATTCATTAGATAAATTTATGGAAGAAATATTTTATTCGTTCAATTAAAAAAAAATATTAATATTTTGGAATATTTTGAGAATTGATTTTTGTTTATAGAAAAACCCGAAATTTTACAAATTAATTAAAACTGCTTATAAAATCAAAGCTTGAACAAATCTTTGATCTCTCGACATGTTAGGCGTGTCTTTTTTGGAGTTAACACTTTGAGTCAACTAAGGATTACCTAATTCCTGCTTAATTGATGTACAGGGCTTCTTAATAAACATGACAATTAATAGAATACTTGAAGGTTTCTTTGATTTTTAATAACTATCCAAGAGTAATTATGTTTCGAAAAAGCATGTACATACTGCTGCTTTTTTGAGATCCACCACAATATTTAGTTTTCAGTTATGTTTTTTTTTTACTTAGTTGGACGTCAGGTAGTTGTTAAACTTTGAAGTCCATCTTCAACTTGTCTTTCAATTGTCTTGGTTAGTGTGGTTTGTAGAAACCGAAGTATGTTTGTATAGAATCCTAAGTATAATTGTGTTCGAAAACAAGTATATTTTTGTAGAAACCTAAGTATAATTGTGTTCGAAAACAAGTATATTTTTGTAGAAACCAAAGTATATTTGTTTAGAAACCGAAGTATATTTGTTTAGAAACCGAAGTATATTTGTTTAGAAACTGAAGTATGTTTGTGTTGAAACCGAAGTATATTTGTTTAAAAAGTGAAGTATATTTGCTTAGAAACCGAATTATATTTGTGTAGAAACCGAAATATATTTGTGTAGAAACCGAAGTATATTTGTTTAGAAAACAAAGTAAATTTTTGTAGAAACCGAAGTTTATTTGTGTAGAAACCGAAGTATATTTGTTTAGAAACCGACATATATTTGTTTAGAAACCGAAGTATATTTGCTTAGAAACCAAAGTATATTTGTTTAGAATTTGTGTAGAAACCAAAGTATATTTGTGAAGTAACTGACGCGCATTTGTGTTAAAGCGAAGTATATTTGTGTAGAACCCGAATTATATTTGGGTAGAAACCGAAATTTATTTATGTAGAAACCGAAGTATATTTGTGTAGAAACCGAAGTATATTTGTGTAGAAAACGAAATATATTTGTGAAGTAACCGAAGTTTATTTGTGTAGAAAACGAAGTATATTTGTGTAGAAAACGAAGTATATTTGTGTAGAGACCGAAGTATATTTGTGTAGAAACCGAATTATATTTGTGTAGAAATCGAAGTTTATTTGTGTAGAAACCGAAGTATATTTGTGTAGAAACCGAAGTATATTTGTGTAGAAACCGAAGTTTATTTGTGTAGAAAACGAAGTTTATTTGTGTAGAAAACGAAGTAGATTTGTGTAGAAACCGAAGTATATTTGTTTAGAAACCGAAGTATATTTGTATAGAAACCGAAGTTTATTTGTGTAGAAACCGAAGTATATTTGTTTAGAAACCGAAGTTTATCTGTGTAGAAACCGAAGTATATTTGTTGAGAAACTGAAGTATGTTTGTGTTGAAACCGAAGTATATTTGTTTAGAAACCGAAGTATATTTGTGTAGAAACCGAAGTATATTTTTTTAGAAACCAAAGTATATTTGTGTAGAAACTAAAGTATATTTGTTTAGAAACCAAAGTATATTTGTGTAGAAAACGAAGTATATTTGTTTTGAAACCAAAGTATATTTGTTTGAAAACCGAAGTATATTTTCATAGAAACCGAAGTATATTTGTTTAGAAACCGAAGTATATTTGTGTAGAAACCGAAGTACATTTGTGTAGAAACCGAAGTATATTTGTGTAGAAACCGAAGTATATTTGTTTAGAAACCGAAGTATATTTGTTTAGAAACCGAAGTATATTTGTTTAGAAACCGAAGTATATTTGTGTAGAAACCGAAGTATATTTGTTTAGAAACTGAAGTATATTTGTTTAGAAACCGAAGTATATTTGAGACCCTGCTACCGCGTGAATCCAACACTAAGAATACTGATGCTGCTCTCCTTGCTACCATATCCTATCCTGGCTTTGCTACACATGATCCTAATATGTACAACAGAACTAAAAACAGGAAAGTTTTCAAAGAAAATCTTTATACAGGAAAATTTCTTTGGAGCTATGGAAATGGACCCAAAAACGAGACTTTAAGTCTGAAATATAATTTCTTAAAAATACCAAGCGTGCTATAAGCATCTCAATAAATGAATTTAAGCCTAGCAAATATTTAATATTTTATCAATTTGTGTTCGTATTCAATATATTGGTAAGGTTATATGGTTACCATGAAAGCTGTGATTGTGAAGGATTGTGAGAGAGTTAGAAGGGGAATATGGATTCAAGAGATTTATTGGGGACGGATTCGGATCAGAGGTAAGAAATATATATAATTTAGCCCCCATAAACAGAACCTGAGTTCATATATATTTTTAGTTCATAATACTCCCTCCGCCTTCCCCCCCACCACTTCAGAAAAGAAAAAGGGTCGGAGAATAAATGCAAATAAAATTGAGCTGCAAGATTTTCCCTCTTTTAAAAATTTGTAAGCCCAAATTGTAGCTGCTCCGCGCAAACTTTCCTAACATACTGGATAAAAATTGTCAATGTTTATAATATTACTATTTTGGAAACCAGATTTGATTTGATTTTATTTGCCAGGAAACTAAAAATTGAGTTCCCCAATCATTTGAGGCCAAGCTGTCCAGGCGTTTCTGAGTTATGATCAAACAAACAAACAGACAAACAGAGGTTATATATATAAATACCCCTATTTTGTTAGGCTGAAGAGAAGGGAAGAAGATTTTATGAAACTGGTGAAACTCTAGAGTTTGAACACGTGGAGAATGAATGGCCCCTATTCTACCTGTACATGATAATTGATGCTGTGTACAAGGATCTTCCGGACCAGGAAGCTAAATATCAGGCAGGTGTACTGTGTGTAGAAAATATTTATCTTTAGCTACGCTCAATTTAACAAACGCCTGTTTAAATAATTACTTTATTACTTAATTTATATACTTAAATTTATAGAAACGTAAAAATATTCAATAGATAGATAGGTGACGTGGCCGGAAGTTGCTCATCTTGCCGCGTCTAGATCTTAGGTTCAAAACTCCTCAGAAGTCTCGTCTTCCGCCACTACGCCGCCACAGTACTCCCCCCAAGAAGGAACGGCGGAGTCAAGGCGGAGCAGGAACTTCTTTCTCTGGCACGTCTGTGTGGATTTCTTCTTGGAATAAACTCAGGTTTGGTTAAGAATACCACAGACTTCTTCTTGGAGGTTGAAGAACTCACGGCGGAGGAAAGGTCCGGAGGATGCTTTGACGGGCGGAGAGGAGGACGTCCTCGAGGTGGTGGAACTGCAGGAACTACTGGACAGTCTGAGATTACAGGTTTGAGTCGATCCACGGAAACAGCATCTACCTTGGNAAACAGTCTATATGCCTATAGTTTCGAACTCGGGGTCACCAAATTTAGCTATGCTCAATTTAACAAACGCCTGTTTAAATAATTACTTTATTACTAAATTTATATACTTAAATTTATAGAAACGTAAAAATATTCAATAGATAGATAGGTGACGTGGCCGGAAGTTGCTCATCTTGCCACATCTAGATCTTAGGTTCAAAACTCCTCAGAAGTCTCGTCTTCCGCCACTACGCCGCCACATATCAATAAAATAAAAGACGACTTTTCTTTAGTTTTGATTGTTAACAAGCTTTTTTCAAAATGATTTACAAGTAATTAAAGAGAAGCTTTTTTAATATACAGCTTTTCTTTGTTTCCATGTTCATTTGTATTCTGTATCCACTATCCATGCTGTTTAACAGCTTGATATAAATCAAAATTGAAATCGAAAATCGTCTTCATTGTATTGATATATATGTGACGACGACTGTAGTGCTATTGCTCATTTTACTTGTATGGAATTTGATGCCGTGTACAGAGTCCAAAACTTAAGGGTATCGTTATGATACCCAGTTTCGTAAACCTGGTTTCATGATGGGGGTAAGGCAATTTTGTTAAAAAAAATTTATTATTTAAGATCCACACAAAACCATACTCGGGAGTTTCATACTGCTTTGACTTTCTTAATTGTTGGGCTCTGTGTAAGGTGTTAAAAGTGCCAACTAATAATAGTGGTAAAAGCTGGTCCAAATACTCGAAGGAAAACTTTTCAAAAACTGTAAAATTTTCTACATAAGGAGCAATTGAAGCTCGTAATATTAATACAAAGCAAAACAAGTTCCAATGATTATATATAAAAGGAAAAATTGAAGAGTCCAAATGATGTACATAAAGGATAAACTTGAGAGTTCCAATGATTATATAAAAGGAAAAATTGAAGAGTCCAAATGATGTTACATAAAGGATAAACTAGAGAGTTCCAATGATTTTAAATTAAAGGATAAATTGGAGAAGCTATTAATCTATGATGCTGCTGGCGACCCTGTGGTTCCAAGAATGTTCATTGTTCCCAAGATGTGCATCAAGTAAGAGTAAATATTACAAACAGATTGTCAATCTAATTAAAAGTCCCTTGTTAAGGAATGAAAAATTGTCCCCAAAGTCCCTTGTTTATGATGAGAAGGTGTCCTCAAAGTCCCTTGTGTATGATGAGAAGGTGTCCTTAAAGTCCCTTGTTTATGATGAGAAGGTGTCCTCAAAGTCCCTTGTTTATGATGAGAAGGTGTCCTCGAAGTCCACTTTGTATGATGAGAAGGTGTCCCATAAGTCCATTGTTACAATAAACTACAGACGTCATGTATAGGAACATTTTGAGAAAATAAAAATTAATCTTATTATCGAAAATAAGTAATCTTGTTCAATTATTAGTTTCTATTTTCTAATTATTCTGGTTTCTCATTATTCACAAAGATTTTTGCAGATTTTCTATAATTATTATTGAAAAGACGACATTTGAAGAATAAATTCGAAGAAAATAAGAAATTCAATATAATAATGAAAACAAAATGATCGATTTTAGCATTGATTTATTGACAAATTTCTTTTGAGAAATATCTTCCTAATCATCTAATTAGATTACTGTATAATTTTTACTTTATTTTTCCGTGTCGTTATTTAATAATTAAAAAAAAACTAATTCTGAAAACGTATCCACCCCAAAGTAGGAATTTTGAACGTCGAATTTGCGCACAAACTCAGGATGTACAGATCTTTAAAAAGTTTAATATGTCTCAAAAGAATCCGAAATAAGTTTCCACAACACTGCATACTCAGTTCAACTACCTAACATAGCCGGTCACTCCCTTTAAGAAATAGAAAGTGTTCTCAAAATCCCTTGTTCAGAAGTGCGAATGTGTCCCCTAAACCCCTTGTTCAGGAATGAGAAGGTGTCCACAGAGTCCCTTGTTAAGGAATGAGTAGCGGTCCCTCAAGTCCCTTGTGAAGGCTTGATAAAGTGTGCCCCTAGTCCCTTGTATATGATGACGAAATGGAATGAGAAAGTGTCGTATTAAGTCCTTTGTTCAGGAATGAAAAGATGTCCCCTAAGTCGCAGAACCGGAAAGCCAGCAATATTAATCAGATTGGACTCTCCACTGGTATCTTTCTCTGGGCTCAGGAATACCAATCAATCAATCAATCAATTTATCAATTTATGTCTTATGTCTTATCGATCAATTAAATAATCAACTATTTAACTAATGATTTAATAATGAGCTAAATTAACCTCTTACCAATTAATTAGACAACTGGAAAATAGCCTTCTAAACAAATTGTTACCCAATCAATCAATCAAACGTCAGATTAAGAAATCGGTAATAATTTATATGAACCAGAATATCATTATTTAAACAAATAATCAGTTAATCAATTCGCCAACAAATCACTCTATTTTTAGCTGGATCCAACCAATAAATCAAATTGCCAACCAATCTTGGACTGTTGATATTTTATTGATTAGGTTCAGTAATGTATTTTGTGTGGATTTTATAAGAAATTTATTCAATAGAGGGGTTTCTGTTCATTTCAGAGTTATTACGTAAAAAACTGGCTTGTAGCCGTTTTTTGAAAGAAATCAACATGTTTTCTCTTGATCAAATTGAGTTTTAATGCAGACTTTTATTTACATTTTCCCTTGAATATGATTTTTAGTTTAATATATTGATTCTTGGTTCTCTAGTCGTTGTATATAATCTCCAGCTTGTTGACTAAGAAACTTCTTCATCTCTGGGATATTGATCCAATTAGGAAACTATATTATTATAAACCTAGTTTATTTATCACCTCATCCATAATAAGGGTTTTCAGCGGAATCAAACTTGCGCAAAGAGAAGGGTGAGTTTGACCAATTTGAATACATTTGGGAGAATCTGAATGAAATTTTTTTCAGTAAAATAAAAAATATATGAAAAAAAAATATTTTCAGATTTTCTGAATTCATGAATTCATTTTTCAAAGACAATTAAAAAAATCTTTTTTTACACAGGCCTTACTTGAATAGTGCTTTTAAAAAACATTTAAAAGGAAAAAAAATATTTTTTCATCCTTTTCCCATTTTGTCCATGTTTTTTAAGCTTTTACCAAAAAGTCTGATTCAAAGACAAGCTCGGTGTTTTCTTCACCTTCCTGTTAGTCAAGTCTCATTACTAATATCAGAACGAAGTTAAATCCATAATTGAAGATTTTATGAAAGGGTAAATTGATTCAAAACTATCTATGGATCAGAAGTGACGGTTATTGTATCTTTCTTTGAAATAATAACTTTTAAAAAACTTTACCCCCCTGCCAATTGTCACTTGACGGCAAAATTTAATCAACTTTGAACATTTTTTAATAAAATAATATATTATGTGCAGACGATATTTACCCTGCTTCAATCGTCCGCGGCCGGATTCCAGATATTCGTCTTTTCTAGGTTTAGCTAGTCGACGAGGTTAAAAAAATACGTGTCAGTAGATTAGGTGCTTTTAAACTAGAATATGCTTTATATACAGGGTGTCCCAGTCATAATTTAACAATTATGAAAGGTCTTCGAGCTGGTAGATGTTAAAGGGTTATAGGATTAGACTTCAGACTTCGGTTTACTTATATTGAAGATTCTCGGCTAATGTAAACTTGTTTCTTTCTTTGGCTAATCATTGAATAAGCTATAAAGATTATATTTAAGACAGAATAATTAATTCAACCTTGGAATCATCATATTCAAAGAGTTTCAGGTCGTCTTTACAGTCTCACCCTTTGTGGTTAACCGGCTTATATTTCCAACCTAACTGGGTCTGTATAAAAGAATGTTAAGTCGTCTTTACAGTCTCACCCTTTGTGGTTAACCGGCCTATATTTCAAACCTAACTGGGTCTGTATAAAAGAATGTCAAGTCGTCTTTACAGTCTCATCCTTTGTGGATAACCGGCCTATATTTCAAACCTAACTGGGTCTGTATAAAAGAATGTCAAGTCGTCTTTACATTCTCACCCTTTGTGGTTAACCGGCCTATATTTCCAACCTAACCGGGTCTGTTTAAAAGAATGTCAAGTCGTCTTTACAGTCTCATCCTTTGTGGTTAACCGGCCTATATTTCAAACCTAACTGGGTCTGTATAAAAGAATGTCAAGTCGTCTTTACAGTCTCATCCTTTTTGGATAACCGGCCTGTATTTCACACCTAACTGGGTCTGTATAAAAGAATGTCAAGTCGGCTTTAAAGCCCCATCCTTTGTGGTTAACCGGCCTATATTTCTAACCTAACTGGGTCTGTATAAAAGAATGTCAAGTCGTCTTTACAGTCTCATCCTTTGTGGTTAACCGGCCTGTATTTCACACCTACCTGGGTCTGTATAAAAGAATGTCAAGTCGTCTTTACAGTCTCATCCTTTGTGGTTAACCCGCCTGTATTTCACACCTAACTGGGTCTGTATAAAAGAATGTCAAGTCGTCTTTACAGTCTCACCCTGTGTGGTTAACCCGCCTGTATTTCAAACCTAACTGGGTCTGTATAAAAACTGTGCGACATAATCCAAATGATCTTCTTTTACATGAAAATGGATAGTTCAGATTCTCAACAGTACCCTTGAAACCTATGTCTGGACAAACATGAAGTAAATATACTAGTTTTCTATCTGAAGATTTAAACTACAGACTCTGTGTAGTTTTCTGGGACACCCTGTATTATTTGGGGCTTTTAGACATTAGTTTCATAGCTTAGCATTAGACTTCACACGTATTCTTAGATTTTATTTATATACTATTTTGCTTTTAATAGATTTGAAACCAGACATACTACATTTTAGTTATCAATAAAAGGTGAATTTTTGTTGTATTTTTACTTTTTTTTTATAAAATCATTTTGAATTATTATGAGCAATGAGCATGTTATTGTGAATTTTTTAGGGACAAATTCTTGCATGTAATTGTAAAAGATATTGATTAATTGATATGCCAGCTTTTTTTTGTATATGGTTGCACGGCTTTTTCAAAATGCTTTAATATATGGGTTTCTTATAATTAATTATATTTCGAAATTTGCCAGGACCAACCCAAATAAAAATTAGTAAAATTGTTTGATCTTTTTTGTAACGTTACTGAAAATTTTATTTTTGAAGAATCTCTTTCAGATGTTTGTAAGAAATCATTCAATAAGATGTATGTGACTCTATGCAAAGCTTAACAAAAATATATATAGATCCGAATATGATGATTAAAAAATCAGTTGATCAATACTGCTTAAAATTTTGCAATTATCAAACTTTGAAAAAAGAAATTTAAAATTGACTGTAATAAAAATAAATTGTAATATTCTTTATTTTCTGATCTTATTTCTCGATTTTTTGTCCCTCTGAGATCTAGAGGATTGTTTACTAACTAGGAGGTAGTTCTCCGACTGAACTGGTGGTCCAGGTTGTTATGATTGCTGAAACAACAAGACTGCAGGAAATAATCATTTAACAGGATTCAACATTTCTATTCATTTTCAACTGTGGACGTTAATTCAGCGACACGCCAGATTTACAAAAGTGCCCTGTGTCCGATTTTAATGAATTTGAGCCGCCGCCTAAATCTGCCAAAAACTGATTTCAATTAAGCGCCGGCTTAAATCGTAAAAAATTTAATACAATTTTAAGTGGAACCAACCATATTTGAGCCGCGGCTCAAATTCTTTAAATTCTTAAATTTAACTTTGGGTTTCTGTCTTGTAGATTTATGCTGCAAATTTGAAATTGTCAGAATTAAACGATAAATTTGCCAGTATTAATTGTGTATACCACATTCTTATTGGTTTTACTACGTAGCTAAATTAGCAATAATTCTAGTAGCTGATCTATCTATCTATCAATCTCGAGTGTAATGATAATGATCTAAACGTCTCGAAATTGAAAGATATATAGATCAGCCATTTAATTTAGAAACTTAACAAAAGTATTACAAAAATCAATTCTGGAAATGTGTTAAAATCCTCTAAGAATGAGGTAAAATCTTACTATGCGTAGGAAGAAAGTGTAATAGATGAAATAATAATTTAGATTATTACACTTTCTTCTTTCTCATGATGATGATAGAGAATTGCAAAATGTTAAATGATTGAGATATTAAGGCTATGTTGGCAAATTATGGGATCCAAACTCAGACTCCTACAGAAGTGGAACCCGTAGAAATATGGAACTCTGCTGAGCTGGTCAAGGTTAGGACAATTCAACTGTTAATTTTCAAACAGGGGTATATATATTATTAATTTTCAAACAGGGGTATATATATTTTGAATTATTAATTTTCAAAGATTTTGAAGTTTTTCCCCCTTTTCATATCCAATAATTTTTTAAATTCACCGAAAAAAAAAACAACAATATTCCCTAAATTACTGGAGAAAAAAAAAGTTTGAAAGGGGGGGGTGGATGTTTTCAATGTAATGTATACCCCTGTTTCCGCCAAATCAAGCCAATATTACATGACAAAGGCGTATTTCTGGTTAAGAATTGATTCCACATTTTTTTTGGCAAAACAAAATAACGTGAAGTGCAATTAGTGCATTTTTATTGCTTAAAGGGACTGTACACAATTTCAAGTGATCCTCCATTCAAAGATGACAATATCCAATTCACATCGGTACCCTTATAGGCTTTGTCTGATCAAGTATTAAAAGATATCAATGTTTTAGTTTGAAAACTGATAATTTTCAATGTGGTTTCTCTACAAAAGTCACTACTACTGCAGTATATTATCAGAATTAAACACTTTTAAAGAAAGAAAAACGACCAAATCATCTATATTCTTAATCAGATAAAGGTTTCAAGGGTACCGTTGTCAATCGGGCGTTGTAATCTTATTATGGAGGGTCGCTTGCAATTACGCTTACAGATCCTTTAAGCATAAAAATAAATCGATTTTGGGAAATGCTTTTTGTATTAAAGGTTAATTTTGTTAAAGCTTCTTATATTTATTATTTTCCTGTCACATAGTTCTTAAATTTCAATTCTTGGTTAGGTTTACAAGTCAATGGGAGAATGTGAAAAGTTGGGATTGAACGGTAGACCCCCTAGACCTATAGGCTCCCTGGGAACCAGTAAAATCTACCGAATCTGCGGTCGTACAGTTCTCTGTTATCCAATCATATTCTCTGGGTCTGACTTCTACCTCTCTCACGATATGGCGCTGTTAACCAACGATATCCGGTCCGAACTTCAGTTTATCGGCCGGTTCTGGCGTCTTGGCGGTCGCCCGACCTTCTGCATCCTCATCTCCGAGAATAACATGAGGGATCCACAGTTTATCGTCATGCTGGAGCTTCTAGCGGAGATGAAGGAGGGGCAGTGCTCCGGGGTCAAGATCCGACTTGGTCGCCTTCAAAACTTAATCTCCTCGGCCTGTGTAGAGCATATTGATCTTGTTCATGGAGATCCTAAATTTCCTGCCATGAAGCATATCAAGGTGAAACATTACTAAAGCTGTCTTGCAGAACTGATTTTATTTCTCTAATTTTGATACCTTTTTCAATACCTACGCAACAGACTTTTGAAAGCCTGATTTTAAACTAGGAGCATATTTTGTCAGTTTTCAAACGCTGGTTCATTTTGTATTTTGTTTTGTAATTGTATTTTTGAATGATGTTGAATTAACAGTTGAAATTATGTTATGAGAAGACGACATGTTGAGAAATTACTGTTTATTGAACACCCTGTGTTGACTTAACTTGACTTTTAAAACCTCTTATGTTTTCATTTATCAGATGAGCTCGTTATAAAGACTTTCGAACGGGAATTTTAAAACTTCTTCTTAGGTTTAAGTTTAATACATTTTTGATAGAGGCTAGCCAATAGCCATTATTTCAAACATTCGTCCATTCTCAAATGAAAAAAAATCAAAACTGACATAAAATTTTTAAGCGAACTTTTTTTAGGAGAATAAAAACTTGTATGCTGGATATCAGAGCCTCACTGATATACCAAAAGTTGTTCAGATCAACGAAGAATATCATGATTATGCTAAGGAATATGAGAATACACCAACCCATGAGATATTAGAGGTAATATATATCATGATTATACCTAGGTGTATGAGAATATACTAATCCTAGATGATATGTTATAGATATTTGTTGTACTTAAAATTATTAGTTTTAACAGAATTTAATTTTTTATACAGGCTTATATGGCGCTTCTCTCCCAGCTGTTCTAGTAACCGTTGTTCTTCAAGCCGCCATATTTCTTTGTAAACTTATTTCAGGGATTTTTCTTTTAATATTTGCGCATTTTGAAAAAATTTAAATTTCAACATTTTTTGGGGGCAAAATTTTTCATCTTTAACTATCTAGAAGCCTTCCCTGAGGTCACGTGAGCGACCAGAAAATATTTGGGCCTGATTGGTTCAGCCGTGTTGTCGTTTTTTGGATACAACAAAGATATTAAACAATCAATCAAAGTAGATACATACGTAGAACACAATTTATTTAAAGGGACTGTAAGCGTAATTTCAATGAGTTTTGTTTCAGGTTTTAAGAAATCTGAATCATTTATACGGACGGATCCAACTTTGTGGTATTATTCTTGAAAGAGAGGATTCTAACTTCCAGATTGAAGAAGGGAGGGATTCATTAAAAAATATTTTCTAAAAAGTTTGTGGAAAAATATGCCGGTCAATACTAATTATGCCTTTAATATGATTTTCGCAATTTTGTCCAGCATTGACTCATGAATTAATTTGCAACTGTAATTTCTATTGAAGAGTTCCCTCCAACATAAAACAAAATGTTTTTTTATCATCTAGGATGTATTCTATGTCCAAAATTAGTTGAATGTCCCAGAAAATAATTATAATTTTTTTTATTTTATTAATTATTATTATTGTTATTGTTATTGTTATTGTTATTGTTATTGTTATTGTTATTGTTATTGTTATTGTTATTGTTATTGTTATTGTTATTGTTATTGTTATTGTTATTGTTATTGTTATTGTTATTGTTATTGTTATTGTTATTATTATTGTTATTGTTATTGTTATTGTTATTGTTATTGTTTTTGTTATTATTAATGAATTATTGTCCCTGTGATAAAGGATTATCAGTTTGGAAGATGATTGAAACCCTGAGCGTCGAAGCTGAACGTCTCCGCTACTGGGCAGCATTAAGGTTAATATTTAGATTTTTCAAACAATATTAATTTAGCCAAAAATTAACTTCTGATCCATTATACTGATCGACCGGCCAATTTCATGAATTTACAATCTGAAAATTTTTAATTTAATTAAAAAACATGTTTGAAAAAACCTTGCGCAAATTAACAAATTAGCTAATGCAAAAAGTCTAAAATTTGAAAGCTGGAGGAGCTGGAGGAACCCTGGCGTGTCACGTAAAACAAAATAACCAGCAATGGTTAGAGAGGTCCCGACTAAAAAAATTTAGCCTTTCTGTAATCTAATATCATTTAAATATTTAGTCATATATATATATTATATACTTGTAGAAGTGCACGGCGTTGCCCGCGGAATTTTTTAAAATGAATTTTGAAGAAGAAAAAATCTATTTTTGTAAAAAATAATGTCGAATTTTTTAGCCTATGTTACTCCCCGGTAACCCATGGGTTCCCCCAACAAATTTCAGCCTATTTGGTCAAGCCGTTTCGCTAGCTATAGCTAATATATATATATATATATATATATATTATATATACAAATAAATATATATGAAGAGCGAAGAGCTTTATTTTATAGATATATCCAATATCCATCTTATGTTCAGGTACTCTTCAAGTCTATTGAAGCGCACGGTGAACTCGCTGTCCCCCTACGCCACCCAGATTATCGTGAATGGGAAATCCTTGACAGTTGGAACTATTAAACTACCCCCTGTATCCTTTCATAAACCCATGACACCAAAAGAGATACATGATGCGCTCTTTAAGAGGGTGAGTTCTCTTTTTTATTATATAATTTTTCAATAACCTTTTATTATGAAGTCACGTTAAACTAGAGCTCGGCATTGTTGAAGTCATGTTAAACTAGAGCTCGGCAACGTTGAAGTCACGTTAAACTAGAACTGGGCAATGTTGAAGTCACGTTAAACTAGAGCTCGGCAATGTTGAAGTCTCGTTAAACTAGAACTGGGCAATGTTGAAGTCACGTTAAACTAGAGCTCTGAAACGTTGAAGTCACGTTAAACTAGAGCTCGGCAACGTTGAAGTCACGTTAAACTAGAGCTCGGCAACGTTGAAGTCACGTTAAACTAGAACTCGGCAATGTTGAAGTCACGTTAAACTAGAACTGGGCAATGTTGAAGTCACGTTAAACTAGAACTGGGCAATGTTGAAGTCACGTTAAACTAGAACTCGGCAATGTTGAAGCCATGTTAAACTAGAGCTCGGCAACGTTGAAGTCACGTCAAACTAGAGCTCGGAAACGTTGAAGTCACGTTAAACTAGAGCTCGGTAATATTGAAGTCATGTTAAACTAGTGTTCGGCAACGTTGAAGTCATGTCAAATTAGAGCTCGGCAACATTGAAGTCACGTTAAACTAGAGCTCGGAAACGTTTCATTAACGAACAAAAGTTTTTTTTAAATAACCGGGAATTCTCGTTAACAATCGGCATTTTTAAAGGTTTTCCCGTACAGTGTTATTGGTGCTGTACTTTAGCAAGAACTGATTTTATACTGCTGTACAGTGTACACTGAACGCCTTTATAGACTCTATATCTAGGTTTTCCCGTACAGTATTATTGGTGCTGTACTTCAGCAAGAACTGATTTTAAACTGTGGAAAGCTTATTGCCACCAACCCTGAACTGTTTAAGGGTATTCTTGTCATCAGGTATTTTTGAATAATTTTCATTTATTTACCAAATATAGTGAGGGATTGATTGCATCTGACAAGTTTATTATGAAAATCCACCTGACGGTTTTTCATAAATGCCTCAACTGTAGAATGTAAATATTCAGTTCTTTTTAGATAAATTACAATACGACCCGTGAAGATTAACTTGAAACGCAGTAATTTTGCATGCAGTGTACAGTTTAAAAAGCTGATTGTTCAAGCTACCGGCAATACTACTTGACAACATTAATTACATATAAGATTACTTTAATGCAGTCTCCCTATTCCATAGTTTATGGACCCATTGCTGGTTATAGAGGTATAATTGTGAATTATGGATGAAATTGTGATGTATTCTTCCAGGATCGGTTGGATTTTGAAAACTCTAGAACTATATCTAAAGTTTACAGATCCGAGCAGTCCTGGCTTTCTAGACAATCTTCCTCCATCTAAGGTAATTAATTACTGGGACACATTGGGGCAGTGCATAGGATTCGAATTTGCTGAATCCGCAACAGAAACGCTCCCTGGATTCAGATAATTGTACGGATCCAAAATTCCGGAACTAATTTACAGAATATTAACTAAAACATGGGGGGGGGGGAAACTATTCAAGTTTCAGAATAATTATTGCTGAAAAAAGAAGATGAATTATTTAAAGAATTTGAAAAGTGAACGAAAAATAATATCGAGAAAATGTTCAATTTGTAAAGAGGGAGGGGGGCTGTCTACTTAAACAAGTGTAAGGTTTAAAACATTGATATGAACAAAGAGGACAGTTTGAATTTCAAATGTTCCCTAGATTCAGCGGTTGCTGTTAGAGATGATGAGAGTAACATCTGGTAAGGGTCCCATTATCCATGAGCTAACAGATTACCAGATAAAACAGATGAATGGTTGTCTGCTCCGAGTACCAGATAACTTCTATCCATCTATCTGGCAGATACTTACTAAATGCGGCGGAGGAATCAGGTAAGAGTATATATACTTTTATCTGGCAGATATCACCTAGATTTGGCGGAGTAAATACAGATTTCTACTCGAATGAGATTATAACACTAATAATAATGATACTTCAAGGTTTGGAAGTGAGCTTCTGCCCCAACTACCAACTATCCGACTCCATGAGAGCCATGAGCTGAGCTTCTATCATCTAGTTGAGTCCCACTTTACTCAGTACAGGAACTCCTGTCAGCGCTATCTTGTTACAAGGCAATTTATTTTATTTCAGTGTTTGCCTGGTTTATCATCCTTATCCTTACTGTTTAAATCTTCTTATAACAGTGTTGGAAACTTTTAAAAACTTTTTTAAAAATCTTGAAAATAATTCTTTTTTATGATTTATTTTATTTTATTTTCCGTAATGTTTTTTTGGGAAGATTCTGAGAAAGATTGTAGAATGTCTGGAAGATGAACTTTGCATTCTTTTTATGTTCTCCATTAAGCCATTAAAACAGATACATCATGTATTTTCAGACTTAATTCAGGAGAATTCTTTAATATACTTTGTTTTAAATATATTAATAATTTGATATTTTTAAATGTATGGAAAGCTTTCAATAGTTATTTTTAACAACTTTTTCAAATTATTGAAACATTTAATAAAATATCTCAGGATTTTAACTATCCTTGCTATTGTGTTAAAACGGAACCCAGAGATTAACTACAAAGCAGTAATATCAGTCGAAGGTAAGAATATAAATTGTAGTTCCTCTTCATCTAAATTGTTTGTTTGTTGGTATCCAATGCACAAATTGTTTGTTTGTTGGTATCTAATGCACATCAACTCGGCTTGACTGACCGATCGAGCCAACAATTTTGTGTCAACCCACATGACCTAAAGAATTGGAACTGATCAAAATTGAAAAATATTTTAAAATTTGAGAAAACTGCTAACTAACTTACAATTTAAAATTACAAAAAAGAATGGTGGCTTTAAAAACTTCATTTAAACGCTAAATTGTGACCAAAAGAGGAACACGAAGCGCCCTGTAGTAGATATTAAAATCCACATTTTACTTGCATTTACATTTTATTACCCACAAGGCTGACGGCTAAATTTGCCCTTTTGCCTCGTTAACAATTTGTACATTGTCATGGTAAACTATTTGATTTGGCGAGGAAAGAAGATAAAAATTACTTGATGTAAGGAAAAAGACTAGATCAGATTCCGTATAGTCTTTCTAAAGTCTCGTTCTTTGTGGGTAACCCTGCACAAAAACAATATTGAGAAACTTTCAAATTTTATCAAATAGACAGCAAAATATTAAAATATATAAAAAATATTTTCAAAAACAATATTGATTAACTTTCAAATTTTATCAAATAGACAGCAAAATATTAAAATATATAAAAAATATTTTCAAAAACAATATTGATTAACTTTCAAATTTTATCAAATAGACAGCAAAATATTAAAATATATAAAAAATATTTTCAAAAACAATATTGATTAACTTTCAAATTTTATCAAATAGACAGCAAAATATTAAAATATATAAAAAATATTTTCAAAAACAATATTGATTAACTTTNCTTTTTATTAAAAAGTGTCCTATACTTGCACCCTTAAATTTATAAACTTTTAGTATTTAAAACTGGTGCAAGGTGGATTTGAGCTTTTTTATCAAAAAGTGTCCTATACTTGCACCCTTAAATTTATAAACTTTTAGTATTTAAAACTGGTGCAAGGTGGATTTGAGCTTTTTTATCCAAAAGTGTCCCATAGTTTTACCCTTAAATTTATTAACTTTTAGTATTTAAAACTGGTGCAAGGTGGATTTGAGCTGTTTTATCAAAAAGTGTCCTATACTTGCACCCTTAAATTTCTAAGCTTGTTTGTTAAGAACTGATGCAAGCAACCCTGGAGTTGTATGAGAAGGATGGAACAGAGAAGACGAGTTGCTGTGGTATGGAAGGTCTTTATAGGTAAGATTACTGTGGTTGTTTATTTTGATTACAATATTTGGTTATATTACAACAAGTGTCATGCCCTATTCACAATAATACCCTTTAAACCTTTGTCTGAGATAAAATATTGTCGTTTTTTTTTTGGAAAGTGTTAAATTCCGACAATTTCCTTCATTGTACTGCTGAATAAATTTGCGTGTCACCTCCATAATTCTACTTAAAGTTATAAAATTCAAACTGTACATCATGATCAGGCGGCCTTTTTGGATCAAACAAAGTAACACGGTGAGATGAGCAATGAACTAAATACCATTTTCTGAACAAAAATTTAAAGATGTCTTAGTTTTTATCTCAAAATTGTAAATTTTGAATTTTGGAAAGAGGAAGACGTAATGACAAGAATGTATCTATTTCAGAAACGTCGATACCATTAATATGCTTAAAAAAGGTTTAAAGGTAAAAAGAAACTCTATACTAGCACGTCACGCAAATCTGCCCCTTTAGTATAAAAGTAAATTCAACCTATATAAAACATAAAGTCTGACCGCGTCAACCTTGTTGCACCGGCTATTCCTGTCCATAGAGCTAGGTGCAGTACAAACTGGGACCCGAAAGGTTGACCCGGCTCGGAAATTCAAATGTACTACGCCCGTGACGTGTGACGTACATCTATAGATGTTGTACAGAAGCCACTTTAAATTTATACTCCAGTCTCTTAAATCATTTGTTTTTCTGAATTTTGTGTTTACTTTTCTTGATAAGGTTAAGCTGCAGAGCTGGGGACAGCTATATAGGGCGGGCTATTGTGAACCGCCTACTCGGAGGAGAAATAGATCAGGAAAAAGACAATGTTAAAAATAAAAATTTTAACATTTTTATCGTAAAATTAATTTTCTTTCTCTAGAAATAAAAATACTAAAGAGAGAAAAATCTGTCAACAAATTGGCATTTTAAAAATCGTATTTTCTTGTGTTAATTTAATTCAAGAATTTTAGGTACAGTTTTATTATTGTCTTAATTTGTTATAGGAGGATTCTAGCTGTAAAATTCAGTGAGGAAGTAAATTACATGAAGTGTATATATTGAGTATTAAGTATGTAAAGTACATTTATGTACACTGTATGTACATTGTTCAGAGTACATTATCTGTCGCGTACTGCTTGAATTGTGTACACGAAATTCATTGATTTGATACTCACCATTCACTCGTAGTTAAAATTCTTCTTCTTTTGGAATTAACTTGTTAATGTTAATGAAAGAAATATTTTAATATTTGTTTGTTTGGTATAAATTGTTGGTAAATCCTCTAAAATCCTCAATCAGAATCTCAGAGCTTATTTACTCAATATTTTATTGTTTGGCATCTTAGCTATTGCCATATCTGTAGAGTTTACTAGAAGTTAAATATATATATTATTAATTTTATTATTAATTATATTTTCAGAAAAATGGGAAATATTTTTGCTAAAAAAGAGAAAAGTCGAATCACCGAGCAGGCATTTTATACGAATTTATTATTGTTATTTTTGATCTTATTATTATTATTATTATTACTATTATTCTGGTTGTGGTTGTGGTTGTTATTCTGGTTGTTGTTTAGGTCTTAGATGTGGTTTTGGTTGTTCTGTTTGTTGTTGTTTTGTGGTTGTAGTTGTTGTGATGGTTTTGGTTGGGGTGGTTGTGGAAGATTTGTTTGTTGTTGTTGTGATAGTTGTGGTTTTGGTTGTGGTGGTCGTGGGGGTTATGGTTGTGGTTGCCATTTCTGAACAGAGAGGTATCATTATTTCTAAATATCTTTCTTTGTAAAAACCTTTGAACAAAATTATCTTGTTTAAGAAGAACTAATCCTTTTTATTCTGGAAAAAAAATCATGATTTTTTTTTGGAAAATTTAAATAACGGAAGTTTGTCGTAAAAATTAAGAAAACTTTCTAACAATTATAAAATGGTTGTAATATTATTCCAATGTTACGTATTTGTATAAAATGTAATAAAAAATTAAGGACAAAGCTATTCTCGCTTTGAAGAAACAACGGGATCAGTTAAAGCAGTATCAAAAAAGAATAAGCGGAGTTTTAGGTAAGAAATTCCACNGACTTCGTTTATGAGATTTCTTTCTGATGTTTTGCCTGAATCAGGATCTAGTTTCTGAATCAAAAACAAAAATGGGGGAACAAATATAAATATGATAAATGGAAATAAATCTAATATTTATCAATGTGTAACTGCTAATCCGCCATGCCTATATGGGGAAATCTACCTAGTTACAAATATATTGAGAATCTGACCAAAGAATACGAGTAGAAATGAGCAAAAAAGGGTTAAATTGCAACTTGTGAGTATTGAACAAAGTCTAGGGTAACATTTTACAAAAAGCTTTAGTGCAATGAAGAAATTGTGTATAAAATTTGCAAAGAAAATACCTGCTGATAAAGACAAGTTCTCTTCATACTCTCACCAACTTATAATATATCCTTTGATCTCATTGTTATATGTTTGCAATTCAGTTTTTTCAAAATATTTGGTGGGATAAATAAGCGCTGTAGTGTTTACAATATAGGAAAATGTTTTGAAAAAATGTGCGAAAAATTAAGGGGGGGGGACATCTTCCAGAATTGAGTTTCTCGACCCAAAGTTAGTGACTTTAGACTCCCCAAATGGACCTAACATTGAAAAATTTCCGAAAAATGCGCGAACAATTAAAGAGGGGAAATTTTGTCCCCCCATTTTTGATATTGATTAAAAAATAGATCCCGATTCAGGCCTAAGTGCAAAAAATCAGAGAGAAATCTCTAAAAACGAAGTCAGAAAGCCCCCCCAACCCAAGCTTTGTACGGAACTTCCCCCTTAACACTGGTAATTTAGAATTCCTTGATTTTGTTTATTTATACTTCCAATTAGAGGCCTCTTATAAATAAAACTGAATGGTTACAACTGAAAAATTTTCTCTTGACAAGAAAAGGCAGGACAACCCTGTTAGTTTGGGGGGAGGGAGTAAGGTTTTTTTTATAACTTACCACTCGCCAGTCCCAAGCTTTCATATGTTATCTAAGAAACATTAAACCTGCGTTGCTAGTGGCTACAACATATTTTGACGCTTTTGTGGCTGTAAGGATTGAAATTATGTTGAGAATAAGTTTGAATGTTTTGTTTAGAAAAAGATCGTGAGATTGCTAAAAGATTACTGAAAGAAGGGAAGAAAGACAGAGCTAAACTATTGTTAAGGAAGAAAAAATATATGGTAACATTCAACTTTATCTATCTATCTGTCAACCTCTTATCTGTATATCAATGGTAAACATTTATCTCTATCTATTTCTATCAATGGTTAATATTTATCTCTTTCTATCTATCTTTCAATGGTAAACATTTATCTATCTATAAATGGTAAACATTTATATCTATCTTTCTATCTTTCAATGGTAAACATTTATCTCTATCTATCTATCTATAAATGGTAAACATTTATATCTATCTAACTATCTTTCTATGGTAAACATTTATCTCTATCTATCTATCTATAAATGGTGAACATTTATATCTATAAAACTATCTTTCAATGGTAAACATTTATCTCTATTTATCTATCAATGGTAAACATTTATTACTATTTTTATTTCTATTTATCTATAAATGGTAAACAATAAATAATTAACTCTATAACTGATTAATTAAATACTGTTTAGCTGGTTTACTTATTAATTGAATACTGATAAGCTGATTAATTGAATGCTAATTAGCTGATTAATTGAATACTGACTAACTGATTAAGTGAATACCTATTAACTGATTAACTGTTTAGTTTAAAAACTGATTAATTGAATACTGTTTAACTAATTAATTGAATACTGATTATATCATTAACTGATTAACTGAATACTGATTAACTGATTAACTGAATAACTGAATAACTGATTAACTGAATACTGATTAAATCATTAACTGATTAATTGAATACTGATTAACTGAATACTGATTAAATGATAAACTAATTAACTGAATACTGATTAAATGATTAACTGATTAACTGAATACTGATTAAATGATTAACTGATTAAATGATTAACTGATTAAATGAATACTGATTAAATGATTAAATGATTAACTGATTAACTGAATACTGATTAAATGATTAACTAATGAACTGAATACTGATTAAATGATAAACTGATTAACTGAATACTGAGTAAATTATTAACTGATAAACTGAATACTGATTAAATGATTAACTGATTAACTGAATACTGATTAAATGATTAACTGATTAACTGAATACTGATTAAATGATTAATACTGATTAAATGATTAACTAATGAACTGAATATTGATTAAATGATTAACTGATTAACTGATTAACTGAATACTGATTAAATGATTAACTGATTAACTGATCAACTGAATACTTATTAAATGATTAACTGATTAACTGAATACTGATTTAATGATTAATTGATTAACTGAATACTGATTAAATGATTAACTGATTAACTGAATACTGATTAAATGATTAACTGATTAACTGAATACTGATTTACTGATTAATTGTGAAAGTCACGAATAATCTGTGCACATTCATAATAAAAGTTTCTTTATCCAGCAACTGAAGAAAAACTATGCATTATAGAAAAATGTTTATAATATCAATATTTAAGGCAATCTTGGTTTGCGAAAATTGTTGCAAATAAGTTTGGTAATAAATTGCAAGGTTTTCAAAATAGGTAGTTGACCTTAGTTATTATCATTTATCTGAAAATCTAAATTTAAGATTATTAAGGAAGTATGCAAAACATTCATTCTACGATCTCTCTCTCTATCAATCTATCTAGCATCTACCTGGTTTGAATTTAATCTATCTATCTATCTATCTATCAATCTATCTAGCATCTACGGCTGTGAAAGGGTCACAAAGTTGTGCCGGTAATATCTGATAAATTTGATCTTCTATTCTTGCCTAGTTTGCAATGATCTTCCCATCTTCTAATTCAAATAGATACTTTACATATTTACATCAATACATCTATCTATCTATCTATCTATCTATCTATAAATCTATCTTTCTATCTATTCATTTATCTATCTCTATCTATCTGGCTGTCTGTCTATCTATGTATCTATCCATTCTATTAAATCTATCTGTCTGTCTGTCTGCCTGTCTTTCTATCTATCTATCTATCTAACTATCTATCTATCTATCTATCTATCTATCTATCTTTCATATCTATCTATCTATTCATTAATATATCTATTTAGCTATCTATTTATCTTCCATATCTATCAATCTATCTGTCTATCTATCTATTCATTAATCTATCTATCTATCTATCTATCTATCCTTTTATCTTTCATATCTATCTATCTATCTATCTATCTATCTATCTATTCATTAATCTATCTATATATCAATCTATTTATCTTTCATATCTATCAATCTATCTGTCTATCTATCTATTCATCAATCTATCTATCTATCTATCTGACTGTCTGTCTATCTATTTATCTATCCATATTTTTATTAAATCTGTCTACTTGTCTATCTATCTATCTATCTATCTATACTCCCTACCGAGACCCACCATACTACACTGGGAGTTAAATTTTCGATTGTTTTGATAAGACTAGAAATTTAGATCTAGCATATTTTTACTGAAACAGTTGTAGCAAGTTTTCAGTGATTCTTTTTTTTAAAAATAATATTTTGATTTTCCATTAACAGAGGGTTAACTGTCCAATTCACAATGGTTTCCCTGAGCAGAAATGATTGATATATTTTTGTTTTTCTATCTCAATATTGATAGTTTGTCACAAGTGACGTGATGCAGTTACAAGAAAGGAAAACTAACAACAATATTCCTTATTGTGTTAAAGGGTGCCGTTGTGAATTGAGTGTTCATTAAAATTTCATCAACAGTCCCTTTAGTATTGTTTTGGATGACGTGAATGAATCTGTTTGAGCAGGATCTAGAGTTTACACAAGTAGAGCACAAGGTTCTAGAAGGACTGAAGAAGGGTAATGAGGCGCTACAGAGGGCTAACTCAGTTTTCAGGTAAAGAAAACTCTGATTATCTAATCCCCATATCTTTGAAACACTACGTCGTAGACCTCTGATAATTTAATCAAACTAAAAATTCTTTTTGATCAAATTGTCTTATTTTGAAATATTAAAGCTTAACAAAGGTTAACAAAATTTGATACCTTTAAGTAAATAGTTAAAAAATTGTAAATAATTGTTTGCAGTTTTCATGAATTTCTTAATGACAATTACTTATTTTGTCATCTACCACCCTACTCTTTCAAATGCCAATTCAAACCTTTTTAGGAAGGATTACAAGGGGGCATTGTGAAAACAGCTTTAAGATGTTTAGGCTGATTGACTGATTGATTGATAGGTTGATCGATAGATTCATTTATTTGTAAATTTAGTACTGAGGATATAGAAGATCTGTTGGACGAAACGAAAGAGGCCATAGACAAACAGAGAGAGATTGATGAACTACTCTCTGGTCAGCTAACCCAGGTAAGTCCCTTCCATAGACAAACAGAGAACTCCTCTCTAGTCAGCTAACATTGGTTAATTTCTTCCATATACAAACATTGAGAGATCGATAAACTCCTCTCTGGTCAGGTAACCCTGGTTAATCCCTTCTATATACAAGCAGAGAAAGATCGATGAGCTCCTCTCTGGTCAGCTAACCTTGGTTAATTCCTTCCATAGACAAACAGAGAGAGATTGATGAACTCCTCTCTGGACAACTAACCCAGGTTAGTCCCTTCTACAGACATACATGGAGAGATCGATGAACTCCTCTATGTACAGCTAACCTATGTTAGTCCCTTCCTTAGACAAACAGCGAGAGATCAATGAACTCCTCTCTGGTCAGCTAACCCAGGTTAGTCCCTTCCATAGACAAACAACATCGATGAATTTCTCTCTGAACAGCTAACCCAGGAAAGTCCCTTGTTTAGACTTACAAAGAAATTGGTAATTTTTCTTTTCTGGTCAATTTAAATCGTTGAAAAAACTTCAAAGTTTCTTTGAGCTTGGGCAATATGATATAAATAAGACATGTTAGAAAAATATTGAACTCAATTCCGTTTTGAACCTCTGCTAAATTGTTAAATTTGAAGGAGGACGAGGATGATGTCATGGCGGAACTTGATCAGCTGTTGGAAGCTGAACTAGGTGAGCTGGAACCGGTTTTGCCCACGCCGCCTACCACGCTGCCGGAAGCCAAGGAGGAAAACAATATGGAGGACATAGAAGTAAATCTACCGGATGTTCCAACACACAATCCAGAAATGGTAACTAAAAAGAACAACAACAATTTGAAGGGTTCATGAACTTTTAAATGGTTTCATCCAGGGTTGAACAAAAAGTGGGATGTAACCCAACATTTTTATTGTGTTCTAATGTTTGAAAAGAGAAATTTGGTGTTTTAAGGCTATTGTTATTGGTCTTTTACTCCTAATACGGCATAAAAAAAAAAAAATTATATTATATATATGATTCTGAAGTCTTCTTTCAGAATTACCTTTTTAAATTCTGAGCTTTTTTATGATGAAGTCAATTGTCAGATGAGTAGGTTCAGGTAAATTCAATAGAATCTTTTTTTATTGATTTTTTAACTTCAGGTTGCACCTTCCAAAAAGAAGACTGCTGTGGCTGCAAGTTGATGGGATCAAACCAGAAATATGAATTATCCCATCATTTATTTATATACTATGCAATAATTTGTAATTTTTCTTTAATTAAGTGCAAATGTAGATATGTATATTTTAGGTTAATAATTCTCGGTCTATTAAAAGTGGAAACATGTAAACCTAGAAAATAATCATTAGAATGAACTAATTTCAAGTGATCCCCTATGCAAAGATTCACAGCGGTATCCTTGAAACCTTTATCTGATCAATAATGTGAAAGATATTGTCGTTTCTCTATGTTTGAAAGCGTTCATTTCTGATAATCCCAATATTTTTTTCCTGCAGTAGAAACAGTTTTTTTTTTATTTTAAACGTTCATATATAATTTAAACATGATCAAACAAAGCTTTAAAGGGTATCATTGTGAATCGGGCATTGCCACAGTCGACTGCTGATTTGATAAAAACAAGGCAAACATCAGCACAATAAAATGTATTGAATTCGAATTTAAATTAAATTGAATCCACATAAAAGAAGATGCATTGGATGTTAGATAAAATCAAAATTATGGAATTTTATATTCGTTACTTTGCTGGTTAATTTTTTGCAGAAAAATTTTTCTTGTATCTTTTAATTTTTCTACCATAGCCGTGCCAATTTATTTTGTATAAATTGATATAATTTTCAAGCGTTTAGTTGTCCCTGTATTGTATAATGTATTTATTATCATAATTTCAGTAAATATGTATTTTTCCTAAATCTGTAATTTCATTTCCTACCATTTATCAGTCACAAAATCTGAAGCGTGAAATCTCTTTAAAAATGTTTCAAATGTAAGCTAACGCTCTGTCCTGTGATACCAGGTAGAATGGAACCCCTCACTCTGACCGGAAAGGTCGGGTTTGGGCTGGGTCATGTACTCAATGACCTCTGTGCTTCTATGTGGTTCACCTACCTCCTTTTGTTTTATCACAAGGTTAGATTAAAATAAAACTACTACTTTGTTCTTTTTATGTGACGTTGATTTATCTAAAGAGACAAATAAAATTGAACAATTTTCTTAGTTTTATTAAACTAGACATTTTTAGGTTTTGTACTTTAACAACAGTTATGCCGGTGTTATCTTACTAGTTGGACAGGTAAGTTATACACAATACTTTAGTAAATACTAACTGAAAAAACGATTTTTGAAAAAAAATTGATCTGATGTGTTCTGATGCGATCTGATCTGATCTGATCTGATCTGATTTAATTTAGCGTAAGTTTATTTGCTTTATTAGATTGCAGATGGCTTGAGCACAACCTTTGTTGGATTTTTGAGTGATAGACCTGACAATACCTGGCTGTGTAGGTTAGTTGGCTTGTTTATTGATATCTGAAAGGAACTATTCACGGAATTTTAAATAATCCTTTGTTTTAAAGACTCATGTTCCCTATTTTCAACTTTATCCTTAAACTTGTGTGTGATCAAAAACGACAGTATTTTCCGTATTTTTAACAAAGTGACTTTTCAGTATTCACTGTTATTCACCGATCAACCTATTTATGTAGGAAGTACGGAAAGAGAAAATCTTGGCATCTGCTGGGAACCATTTGTATCCTTGGGAGCTTTCCTTTCATCTTCCTACAGTGCCTGGGCTGCGGGGAATCTGATGAGGTTAGTTAATTACAGTTGACCTAGTGTGTCGTCTTCTTTCTTATTTTAATTTTCAATTGCTTTATTTTTAAATATTTGCCCTGACAACTATTAGACATACATTAAATAATCTTCATTAACATTTCTCCCATTGGAACATGAATGGAAAGTTCCGGCTTTATAAGAACTTTTAAATACAAGAATGAATAATTTATATGTTGAAGGATTCGATGATTACGTAATAACTGAAATGATAAATATGTTATGTAGTGAGTAAAAATCAATGTTTTCTATATGTGCATAATTTTGCATATTTTTTCTCTTTTCTTTTGGAAACCTGTATTTTCAAAAAAATTTATTTAAACAAATTTAAACTACACCATTTATATATGTATTTATATCTTTGTGTGTGAATAAATCTTTATAATAATATAAAATTATGGTTAAAAACTATTGAAATCCGTCTCAAATATCTTGTATCCAATTATAAAGCCATACAATTTTGTTGAGTGGAACATTCAAATTATAGATTTTTGAGGTAAAAATAAATAAGATGTACAAATAAAAAAATTTCAGAATCTATTGTTATCGATTATCGTTATGAAATATGTAAATGCATAGGCCAAATTTAAAGAATTTAAACCTCATGGCTGAACCACCAAAACCGGTTTCAATTGAGCGCCGGCTCTGATCTCGAAACACTGAATCCAATTTCAAGTGGAACCAATCATGTTTCTCAAATTTGAGACGCGGCTAAAATTCTTTAAATTCGGCCTTATATAAAAATATTTAATTTTTAGTGGGCTCAGCTGATTTACTATTCTGGGTTTGCTGTAATATTTCAATTTGGTTGGGCCTGTGTTCAAATATCCCATCTCTCCTTAATCCCAGGACTCTCGTCGTGTCAAAACGATAGAACAGGACTCACAGCTATCAGGTGAGTGAGTGAGTTAGTGAGTTTAGTAAGTAAGTCAGTAAGTCAGTAAGTCAGTAAGTCAGTAAGTCAGTAAGTCAGTAAGTCAGCAAGTCAGTAAGTCAGTCAGTGATCAAAGAGTTTTAGCGAGTGATTTTATTTTGGAATGATCAGTAGATTTTGACGAGAAAGCAATATTGACTTATTAATTGATTGATTTATTGACTGACTGATTGATTGATTGATTGATTGATTGATTTGTTAATTTATTGATTTATTAATTCATTCAAGTAAATTTACTTAGGTATTCTATGACTGTAGCTTCTAACATTTGTGTTTACCTGATTGCTATGGCATTCTTTGGCCTTGGAGACTCCGGAACCGAACTCTCTGATCAGGTGTGTGGAGTTTAGGCTGAACGTGGAGTGAATCTACGAACCAAAATACGAGTAATGATTAATTGATTGTCGTAGAAAACGTCGTCTTTGTATACACATTTTATATGTTTTAATACGAAAAACGTAAATTTCTTGCTAACTCAAATATCAAAAGTACATAATGACATTAAAATATGATAAATTTAAATTTTATTGGGGTGCTGTTACTGAAAAAAAAAAACATCAAATAGTGTCTATAGAGAGGGACCGTCCCTTTCCGCTCAAATTCTGAACGAAAAATCGGCTTTTTCTCCACAGTTGTCTTTGAAAAGTAAGACTATTACCAATCAACAGCGAATAGGCTGTTCAGTTTACCCTGAAATTACCCAAATAAGTGAACGGTCCCTTTAAATGAGATTTGTCATGGGGTTGAGTAATAGAAGATGTGCAAGAAGAAAAAAAATATGATCCCAAGATCTGTCAAAATCTGTGTGTAGGATGAAGACAAATTTCGGAACTTAATGTTGATCGTGATTGGTCTTGGAACAGTGGCAAGCATTCTCTTCCATCTGCTGGTCAAAGAGGAGGTGGAGCACAGGGTAGGTCACACAGTTTTTGGTTCATTCGTCCAGATTCAGACTCTCAAAATTTAAAAAAATCGTGAATGCTTGTAAGGCAGTGTTATTAAAGGTTTTCAATATACAGGGTGTCCCACATCAAATTAGACCGCGTCAATGGGTCTAAATTACGATTATTACGATTTGGTGGATAAATCAGAAAGTTTAAGAAGAATGAATCATTTTGAAAAATTTAAAAAGGTGAATAGAAATTTTCTCGCAGAAAATGCTAGATTTTTCGAGTATTATGTGCGTATTTTGGCGGTAAAGATTGGAGATAATCTAATATAATATGGGACGCTCTGTATATCCCTATTCACCAAACTTCGTAATTGTACAAATAAGTAATATAGAGTTATTTTACGTAAATCTGACTTAATTCACAAAAATTATAGGAATTTAAGAAATTGTCAGAGGAAAATCTGGTTAAGCTTTAATTTAACTATTTAGATAATAGTAACAGAGGAAACTAAAAGAAACTATCTCTCAGCTTCATATTGGTTTACAGGTAGCTACTTATGCAATTTTTCTAATCTTATTAAATTTTTATTTTTTGAGGAAATAGCTCAAAAAATATATTGAACATAGAAGCATTTTAGACTTTACAGCATTGATTTCCACAGAATTGTGGTTGACTTTTTTTAAATTTTAAAATCCTTGATAAATAATATTTATTTCTTTGATCCAGAATATTTTCAAGAAAATATGTAGTTAAGTATCGTCTATACTCTCTAGTATGTTGATAATTAATCAATATTTCTTTTCAGAACCACAATTCTACATAGTAGCATTGTTGTATATGAGCACAAGGAAAACTACTTTTTATTAGAAAAAGAATTAAATAATAAATTGAATTCAATACCGGAGTTTAAATTCATAATTTTTGGGTTCATCCTTTGATATCTTTATATTTTTCTATACTTGCATTGAAATTTAGCAAGGGAAATCTGTCAAGGGGTTCCTGAGTTATGATCAGACAAACAAACAGAGAATACTAGTTAAAGTGTATAGAAACCAGGCACTCCTGCTTGAATGTATAATCCTACTTCTTTCTAATCTGTATTTATATTTGAACCTTCATCTGTTTACAAAGCAGTTCTAGCAAATCATCTTAAAGGGACTGTAAAGGAGAAATGTAAGGGGGTATAGGCTGAAAGCTAATCACTTTAGCTCTCGATCGCAACCCATCAAACTTATATCTGATGTTCCTGTTTCGAGAAACTTATTTACAACTTTGTCAAATTTATACGAAAATTAATATATGTACAATTTTGTATAAAAGTAGTGGGTTTAAATAGATCAAATTCAGTAAATATGCAACCAATCTGAAAACTATGATATCCCAGACAAAGCTAATTGTAACTTTGGTTTACTCCAATTCTAATTTTATATTTGGTATTTCTATTTTTTAAAGATTTAATTCATAATATTATTCATAGGTTTGTATTACTTGACCAATGGCAGTGCAGTAAAGTGGTCATGTGACCAGTATACTGCTCTGCCATTCGTTATAGTTCTGGTCACGTGATTTAAGTTTAAGATTGTCTAAATTTTACATAGATGAACTTTCGTTTAATTTTAACACAGTTTTATATCAATTTCTCGAGACAGGAACATCAGATATAACTTTCATGGGTTTCGATCGAGAGCTAAAGTGATAAGCTTTCAGCCTATACCCCCCTTTCATTTTTCCTTTACAGTCGCTTTAAATGTGCTCCTTTTGTATTAAAATTTAAAAAGTACCGGTTTCTCAGATTATTTGTAAATTTGTCTCAAACGTACATTCCACTGTATATTCAGGTAAATAAACTAAATTCCTCAAGGCCAGGGAAAGGTTTATGGCCGATCAGGATCTAAAAACGTCAATTTTTTATTTCTTACATTTTTTCATTCTTAAATTTGTTCTTCAGAAAAAAGGGAATTTTGCGAAATTTTTAATTATATTTAATGTACTAGAAAGAAAGCACCTTGTTTGTTTCATAATATGAGCCTTATTTATTTCAAAATATAAATGTCATAACTATTTTAAAAATGATTATATTTGAAGTGAAAAGATTTTTTAACCTGGTTTCTAATTCTGAGAAATGCTCAATGGTTCTCTTTAAAGGGACTGTAAACGTAATTTCAAGTGACCCTCCATTGATAGAGTGGCAGGTTTGTTTCAAAACTAAAAAACTTTTGCTGATTAAGTATGAACTAGATGTTGATGTTTTTGTTCTTAAAAACAGAGCTGAAAACTTTAGAATGGGATATCCTTAATCCCGATCGGTCAATTAATCTAGAGATAAATTACAAGAGGAGAACAAGCATTATTTAATCTGGAGATCAAGAAAAAGAGTGGATCAAGCATTAATCCCGATATCCACCATTCAAAAGCTCCCAGCTCTGGTTATTTTTATTGTTGGTTTCTGTATAAAATCAGCTTGTACATATTTTGTCTTAGAAACAGTTGAGACAATATCAGAATTAAACACTTCTCAAGTCTGAAAAAAAAACAAAGTTATCTCTTACATTATTAATCAGATTAAGGTTTCAGGGGTACCTTTGTGACTAGAGCAAGCCTCTTTCAAATGAAGGATCATTTAAGATTACAGTCCCTTTAAATAAAGGATAACTTAATATCGCTGACAATCCCTTTAAGTGTAAAATATTTAGGAATCTCTTGAACTACCCACCATCTATATTGCTATTATCCCTCTTGTAATGTACATATCAGGGTTCATAACATCATTCCTTATGAAGGTTTTGAACAGGTAAACAAAGGTTTGAATTGTTTAGAGGATATTGATTTTTTTAATCTATTTTTTATGTATTTGTTTTTTGTTGTTCATATGTGAATATTACAAAGATATTTTCAATTATTTAGATAATTTCTAAAATGAATTTTTTTTACGCTTTTTGAATGTCCCCATTTTAAAGAAATAATAAAATTTAAAGTAAAAATTTTGCAATTTTTAAGACATTTTAATAGTGTCTTGCTATTTTTGGACTCTGAAGTGCTATTAACAATTTATAACCTATCGTTATTTTCTTACTAAATAATGACCCAAATGTTATAAGAATATTTTAATTTTTATCACGTTTTCAAGTATAATTCCCAAACTTTGGAATCAAACAAAGTTTAAAGAAAAGTTTTTTTTTTTAAAGTAAATAAATTTCAGAAAGTTTGTTAAATAGAATGAAAATAACCGTCAAGTAAGAGATAGATAGATCTCAGCTGACCGCGAACATTTATCTCATCGGTTTTCAGGAAAGCAGGTAGAAAGGTGACCTACCTCCTCGGGTCAGCACTCTGCTGTTCAGCTGCGGTTTGGGTCTTTGTCGGCGCAGGAGAAAAGGTAAGAACCTGGTTAAATACTAGAACATTCCAAAGATTTGTGAAATTTTTTACCGGGAAGACTTTGATTTTGGTTGTTCACTTACAACAAAGCATTATTCGCCATGTTTCACATTTCAATAAATTCATTGATTAACTAATTGAACATCTTTTTTCTTCTTTTTTTTGATTTATTAATTTGTAAATAATTTAATTGACCCTCTTTACCAAGATGGCAATGCCTGAAACCTCAATCTGATCAAAAAGTGGAAATTATTGTCAATTTTCCAGGTTTAAATCTGATAACCGCATTGTAGAAAAACAACAAATAAAAACAATCAATTTCCGAAATTCTTAAAATTGATTTTCAATACTTGATCAGACAAAGCTTTTCGGATAATGATGTAAACCGGGCAGTGTCATCTTTCCAAGAAGGGTCATTTGAAGTTATCCATACATACTATATAAGATGTATATTTTGTTCAGCAAACTGGAACCTTCTTCCGTGACTACGGAATCTTCTTTACCGTTGTACTGTACGGGTCTGGGGGCAGTACAATACTTATAACTAGTCTAGCACTCACTGCAGAACTCATAGGAATCAATTATCTGGCTTACTCTTTCACCTTTTGGTTTGTTTAATAAGCGAGGGAAGGCAACCTCCCCCGCACAGCTTCCGAAGCTCATTTCACCTCTTTGGGGCACTACGTGTCCCCATAGGGCTTCCGATCCTTCCCAAACAGTGTTACGGAAATGTTCTTCCATTTATAAGTGAAGTGGAGAGATTAAATTAAAATTAAATAATTGATCTGAACAGGAAAAAATCATGGTTCTTCAGCGTTTGTTTACGGTGCTATGTCTTTCACTGACAAGGTAATTTCCACTTTTACCTGGAGAATTATTTAAGAATTATTAAAATATGCCATTAAGATGTTTTAATTTTGAAACTGTAGAAAAGAAAGACGACATCTAAGCAGTTTTCTATGTATTTAATGTTGTAATAAAGCAAATATATTAGTAGCTTACAAATTAACTTTATACGTGCTTCATGTTCGTTTAAAAATTGTAACTTGAGTCTAACAGTCATCTTTCTATTTCACAGTTTTAATTTCTCCTGTCTTCCATCTGTTTTTTTTTAGCTTGAAACAATAATTTTTAGAATTCGAGTTACGAATGAAATATTTCAGGTTTCTAATGGTCTGGTCGTCATGTTGATTCAGTATTTGATTCCGTGCCTAAAGGTAATGGATTTAACGAAATAATTTTTTACTTTTTTAATTATCTTTGCATAAAGAAGACATTTCCTTACTATTTAAGTTTTTAATAGCGTATGAGATTAAGGAATCCGCCAATTTTTAATCTAATAGAATTATAAAATCGCATCTAATTATCCTTGGTTTTTTATCAATGTCTTTAAAATAGAATATTCAGTTATACATTTAAGTTTGCTAAATTAATATTATTTCAGTGCTGTCCGGAGTGCAAGGAAAAATCATATTTTAACAATTACTTAAATTTATACATTTTTATAATTTTTTTGCGTCTTTTGTTTTCTGAAGTTGAGCTATGAAAAAATGTCCCTTAAAATTTCATTATTATTTTTATTATCTAAGATTTTAAATGAATATGATACGACAGTGGTTTTTCCGCGACGTTCTCTTCTACGCAACTGGTGGTTCTGCTGTTCTTGGTATTATATCGCTCCTCATTCTTTCTCCCTTCACTGTAGGAGAACGCAGGACACCACTTATTATTGAAGGACAAGAAATAGGAGGAAGGAGGACAAGTTTACAGGGCGAAAGGAGGACAAGTTTACAGGGAGAAAGGAGGACAAGTTTACAGGGAGAAAGGAGGACAAGTGTACAGGGAGAAAGGAGGACACGTAACCCAGAACAAAAAAGAAGTAACACGGAAGAACCAACTGAAAGAACACCTTTGATTTAACAATATCCGCAAAAAAACTCTCCTTTGATTTTGCAAAATCCGCCAAAAACTGATGAAAATTAAAAATGGCGCCAAGGGCTAGAATCAGCTGACAATCGACCAATATTAATTGATTTCCGAAAATGATAGCTTTTGTCTTCCATTACGTTTCATTTCGTATTTTAAAGCATTAGCTTCTACCATGTAGAATGTTTTATTTACATTATAGTTTTAATCAGTTTTAGTTATTTTCGAGGTTTAAACATTTGCGAACATTTGCCCTTTGCAAGTTTCTCATGGTCAAATTTAGTATAACAGCATTTGTTTCAAGAAATATTTTGTTTAATGTGTTGTCTAAATCTTTGATAACGATGACAAAAATGTTGTAGTTTTTCTTAGAAATGAGCCATTCTCAACCGTTTATTGGCACAAAGCAAAAAAGACTTGAAACGATTATTTTAAAAGAAATTATAACAAGGCCGCCATAGGTGTATCTCATAATGCTTCTGGTAACCCCAAACTACCTTGATAGCCCCTTTAAATTCATAACATAAAAGTATACTCCAGTTCTGTGATAATTATAAAACTCATTCCGTCATAAAGTCTATAATTTTTAAGTTCCAAACCGAGTTTCATACAGTGGTCGGTTTTCATATCAAAACAACGAAGACGACTTTCTATTAAAGTTTGGATTTTTACCAAGCTTTCTTCAAATTACAAGTTTCCACGTGCTTCTATGTTTTAAAGCTTGGTAGAAATAAAAATTTAAAATTTTAAGTCGCCTTTATTGTATTGATGGATACGACGACGATTGAATTCGGGCTCAAATTCGGTTTAGTATTTTCCTTCTGTCTTCTTCATTTTTTTCTTCATTAGATTTTTTAAATTTTTTTTATTGTTTTAGTCACACTCACAACTCACACTCGCGGCTTAAAATTTGGCTTTGCAAAACTTTCAAATTTGAGCTTTTAAATTTAATTCGATTTTAAATCTACATTCAACTAAATGGTTTTTTGTAGGTTATTATAAGCGTCTCATAAAATCCAAACAAAATGATTCGTAATAATTTCGTTTTCGTTTACCCTCATTTATATTTGCTGTAATTCAAATACAATGTCACATTCTTTCTAACCGCCATATAAACTTCTCTTAAGTTTTGTGACAATAATATTGAAAAGTCTTGTTTCTGGAAAAGAATTTATTATTTCCTAGTGTTCTTTTTATTTTAAGATGATGCTTATATTTGTGTTGACCAATCTACATACAGTTAGAAACAGAAAACTGTGGAATAGGAAGAGAACATTAAAGTAAATAAGTGTATTCGATGGTGTTACAAAGCAAGTAGTTTTAATAATTTATTTATTTTATCACTTAAGTAAAATGGGTCTGTTTACACTGCGCAATTGTTGTATCTTAAACGTTTAATTGACTATTTAGACATAACTTGAGCCTAAAATTCGTCTTCATATTCCTGAGTTTTCTGGTTCTCACTGCAAGTACACAAATACTGTTGGTCACATCGATTTAGAAAAAAACCTTTTGTAATTCTAAAAAATGACATTTTATAGATAATTAGTATTTTATTTTACATTTTGTTCAATTTCTCTAATAAATAAAGACTTTAAATTATTATTTATTTAACATTCGTTCAGGAAACCCAGCTTTGCCTGGAAACTAAAGTTTTTCTTCTAAAGACCAACTCTTAACAAATAGCTTATAAATCAAGTCAAGAGAAGAACATTCCTATGGTTCTATAGAGCTGACATTCAAACGGAGATAATATTAATTCAAATATATAACTCATAAAACTGGAATGATTTAAAAAACACATAAATATAGTTCTTACAGAATTTATCGTGAACCCGAAGAAAGGTTTTTCTTTTTTCGCAAGAAACTGTTGATTTTTTATTTTAATTGTTATAACTGATGTATGCCTGAAATTCTCATTTTTATTGTGCCCCAGTAAACTTCATTTAAAAGAAATATTTTAAAGTTAAATTTTATTTAAAGATGAGGAAAGATATCGGTAAAACCGAATTCAGATCAAACCCCATCAAAGATGTATAAGAAGTTTTAGAACGTTTATTCTGCTTGTGTCATTCATTCCATTCATTATATGAAAAAATACATGAAATAAAAACTTGTTTACTTAAAAAGATTATTTTATAAAAATTATTTATAAAAATTATTCGTAAAAATGCGTATCTTTGCAACATAAAAACTTTTCACTTGCAGATAAATTCGTATTTTCACGTAAATTTATCTTAATACAGTCCCTCGAAACATGACAATATGCAAGACGAATTGAATGTCGTCTTGATTTTCGATATAATTTGCTGCGTTTATTTGTCAACCCAATTTAGCAGTAAATTTCTAGAGATAATAATCACAAAATTCCCTTAGTCCTGCCATTTCCAAAATGTGGTCTGCCTTTTTTGTGCTTTCAATATTGCCCGAGATATGAAGAATTTCGTTCAGATTTAAAATCAAGACGACATTCAAGTCGTCCTGCATACTATCACGTTTCGTGGGACACCCTGTAGAAGAATAATGTCACAAATAAATTCAACTATCAAAGACGACTTTCAAGTCGTCTTGCTGTTGTCATGTTTCGTGGGACACCCTGTATGTACTCGGAGGAGGTTGCCTTCCCGATCGTACAATTATGAATAATTTAAAGTCATGTCCAGAATTCGTCCAGTCCATAAATTCAATCCCCCTTATTCTAAACATCGCTTAAGTTACATCTTCCGTACGCAAAATCCTCTCTTCTGACCTACATACTAACTTTCCGACCTGATACTAATGCAATACATATCATCGGAAGAATCGGAACTGCATGTACGACGACCGATTTGTTAAATTGGTTGATTGATTGAAATTGTAAGGCATGGTTCCTAACTTGGCGGAGGGGGGGATAGATAAAACTCCTAAGAATGCGCGAATACCGGATAATTTTTCTTATATTCTCTCTCTCTATGACAGCTTGCCATGACAGCTTGTTTCTATAGATAGTTTGATTTTAATTTGATACGAATGTTAATGATTTATATTATGACTGTGAGACTGGTTGGATTTTGGATACGAATGTTGATTTTAATTTGATACGAATGTT